AAAAAAGTGTTAAGGATATTTTTGGAATAAAAAATCATGGGCCTAATGGCAAAACAAACAATCCTTAATAAGACACAGGCAATCGCTCTATTGGCTATATTTGAGATGTTTTAGTAAAATGAAAACTATAAAGTAGGTTTAAGTAAATAGTAAAACTATAAGGTGTGTTCTAATAAATGACCCTAATAGAAACAATTAAGAGTAGAGTTCACATCTGCACCCCACAACGTCTCACAACACATCTCCACCGTGTATTGGGAACATCTCCCGATGATAATACCAGAACTGATGATGTCATCATTGGGAGATGTTCCCAATAAACGACGAGGATATGCTATGGGACGTTGTTGGGCACCCCCTTGTGGGGCATAGATGTGAACTCATAAGAGTATACAGTTGTTTTATATTTTCAACTTTTTAAATAATTAATAATTATTCATATTTTATATACTACTTTTAATAATTTTTTTATAATACAAAAATAACAATAATTAATTTCAGTTAGGTTTGTTCATCAAGCTGATGAAACCAACCAACCCGATCAACTCAACCCAAGTTGGTCGGTTTTCTAGTATTTTAAGTCAGCTTTGGTTCAAAATTTTCCTAATTCGACCAAGTTAGATCAGTTTCACTTTGGCCATTTGTAAACCGACCAAAATCAAACGGCCTAACGATGGATGTATATTAATATTTTATATTTTAAACATAGTTTCTAATATGGAAAAGTGGGAAATTTCTCATATTTCTTATTCTAAAATGTTTTATATCGTAAATCTAATTTTTAAATTTATTTTTTAATAATTGCATTGTAAGTTTTAAAATTAAATTAAATTTTTAAGTTTAAATCTTTTGAACCGACTAACCAAACTAAAAAATCGACCCAAACTAATACAACTTGAGTGGGTCGGTTTTCACAAAAGTTTAGTCGGTTTCAACTGACCAAATCCCCAACCCGACCAGGTCAATTTGATTGGCTAAATAGCCTACGATCGAACCGAACCAACTAATGAACACTCATATTTTCAGCTAAATTAATAGTCTCATCTATGATAAACAACAATAGTTTAATCTCCAATAATTATTGAAAATTTATAGCAAAAATACACAATTATTGAAAACACAATGACAATTAAAAAAATATAATAAGTACTAAAAATATATCAACTTAGTCAGTAAATAGTATAATGTTAAATAATAATTTAATCTCTAATAAATATTAATCAATAAGTTATAACAAAAATACAATAAATACAATAAGTACAATATATTAAATTTAAAAATTTCAATAATAGTAGTTTAATCTTCAATAATTATTGAAAGTTTTCTGTTAAATAACAAAACAAAATAAATTTATACATAATCAATGAAAATACATTTATCACAAAAAACAATAAAAAATTACTGAAATACCATAAATATTAATTTTAGTATATATAATTATATAATAAATACAGATTAAGAGTTTAAAATTATTATTAATAAATACTAATTTTTTGAAAGTTATTTTCTCCTATTATTATTTGATATAAGTGAAATTAGTTATTTACAATATTATATAAAAATATTAAATTATTATTAATTTCATTATTATGTTATAATTATTTTTCTACTTTTCAGAATTTTTTTAAAACTTATTACATAATTTCTTTGTTTTAACTATTTAAAATCTAGTTATGTTAAATATTTTTCTATTTTAAAATATTTAGTTATTTAAATACTTAAATAATATGTAAAATATTTAAATTTTGAAATATTAATTATTTATTGAATTTAATTATCCATAAAATCATAATTTATACTATTTACATAATCTCGTTTTTAATTTTGTAATACATTAAATTATTTAACTATTTAAAATCTAGTTATGATAAATACTTAGTTATTTAAATATTTAAATAATATATAAAATATTTAAATTTTTAGTTATTTGAATTTTATTTATTTAAAGCTATTACATATTATTAAATATTTAAAAAAATATAAATTGATAATCCGGAAAAACATAATTTAAACTGTTAGTACATAATTTCGTGATATACTTTGTAAAAATATAAAATTATTTTTGTTTTTAATAAATAATTTAAAGTTCTTATATAATTTTGTTAGTATACTTAAATAATTCTTAAATTTTTTATCCAAACTTTCTTTATATAGATATAGATAACAAATAGGGGAGGGGATAAATAGGAATTAGAGATAATTTAGGAGAGAAACTCTCTACTAAATTAGAGATAATTGTCGAGATAAATAGGAATTAGAGATAATTTAGAAGATAAATAGCAAGTAGAGATAATTCTAGAGAAAGTGGGGGAGGTAGTTTAGGATAAATTTTAGGAGAAGAGATTATTTAGGTTATTGGGAATGTGCATCTCATTGGTTGTTTCAAAAATAACATGGAATAAAAAACAAAAAATTCAAAAAAAGGAGAAAATTTGTTGACCGCTTTGTTTTAATATATATATATATATATATAGACAGATAGATAGATTCCAACCATGTGAGGTTAGCTATGTGACTCCTGTTTATTTCATTCTATTTCGTGCTATATTTATTGTAAGGTTCAAAATATCAATATTCTTGATTTGCAAAATTTATGTATCACACATTCTAAGGTGCCAAATTTTGATTTTTAATTTTATTTATTCTATTTTGAGAACTTTACTAATATTAATTAGTGTGCACATGCTTTGTACGTGGCAGTTTTTGATGATGATAGTAAATAATATTTTTTCAAAATTTTTATATTTTTTATATTTCTACGTTTATAAAAATTATTCTTTGTTGTGATACTTATTTTTTATTAATATAATGAATATACGATATTAGAAAGGTGCCCAAATGTTTTCTACAATTTTTTTTTGTTTTTTAATATGGTTAATTAATATAGGATTCAATGAAAGAATATGGAGTTAATACTTTAAACATAAGATATAAATGAAAGAAAATATGAGGAATGAGACTCAATGAATGTTAATGGGCATTAATGTCTTAAATATAAGACTTAATGAAAGGAAATTGAATGAGAAGAAAAGTGGTTGTTCAAATTATATTTTTTTTCCTACAATTAAAGAGTGAAGAAATTTAAAAATTAGGGTATTTTGGTGAAATAAAAGTTCCACACTATCATTCACACTTTTAATAATATTATATATATGCAACATGATCATTGGAATGACTTTAAACTTTTAAAAAACCTCAAATCCTTATTATTTCAAGTACCCATAGGTTCAAAAATTGATATATATTGCATGATACACAACTATACATTGCAATATTTTGAACCTTGTTTTATAGGTAAAGGAAGAAATTTAAAATATTTAAAAGCATGATATCATCATTTTGGGTTAGGTTATCAAAGTTTAATACCAAAAGGAATGTTAAACTAATTGAAGGGGTTTGGTTATATAATTTCTCCACAACGTCAAAGGAAGAATTTGAATACATCAAAATACATATGTACAAAGGAGCTAGGTTAAAAGCATTTTTCAGAAAACACAAAGACTCAGTTTGGAAGGAGTACAAATGCAAATTTGTAAAGTGCAAAATCTTGTATTTTGTATTATTTTATATGTATTTGCACTGTATATATTTGTATTTGTACTCCTTCCAAACTGAGCTAAAGGGAAATTTAACTAATTTATCCTCTTTCAAGGGATAAGGCTGATTTCACTCATCTAATAATCTCATATTAAGATATCCTGTAATAATCGATTCACTGAAGCAGAAAGAAACTGTCCAACTTTCGAAAAAAGTTAGGAAGGAAGAAAGTGCGTGGAGTAGTAGTACTACTCCCTCATAATTCAAATAAATGAATTCAATCAACACTTTAGCAAGGTGAAATGAATAGCTTAATGGGCTGAAACCAAAAATTATATATATATATATATATATATATATAATGATGGCATGATGTCAGAAATTTTAAAGAGAGAAGAGATGGATCATTTACCCCACATGGCATGAGAGATAGAGTTGCATCGCATCACTTCATTTCGCCGAAAGGCATAAGAAAGGAGGACAATGGAGGACCCACCTACACTTTCATGCATAACGAAAAATCAAAAGCGAGATCATTTACCACACATAATGAGTCTCTCATACTTTTGTTTGTCAACACCTCGCATTCCACCAATACAGAAAGAATGCTCCTTTAACTTATTTTGATTTCTAGGTTGAGTATAGACTAATGGTTCATATTGATTTAATTTTCTTCTACCCCAAAGTCCCACTATATTGCAATATTGGTGTAAACGAATGAGAGTGCAAATAGGCAGAGTGTTTATTACTTTTGATTCAGAATTTTTGTATTTGTGAATTGTGATGAGATGTAAAATAAGATATTTGTGAGAAGTAAAATGTAGTCCTCACCTCACCTTAATTAGATGAAAGAGAATGGAGGTAGGAGATGGTTATTGTTGGGAGGTGGTCCCCAATTTATATGCATGAGAGAAAATTGAGATAAGAGGAAGGTGGTGTATTCCATTCAGATTTAATTTTGGAGACTGCAAGCAAAAATGTTTTGGAGACAATTCCTTTTCACCTATACATATGGGCCTAGAATTCTATGGGTGAAGCTCAGTGAAACCAACTCAAAAGATCCAATTTCAATAATTCAGACAACCCGGCCCATCTCTCCTCAGAATGAGTTAGGATTGATGAAGCAGAGGGTCATGTATATATACACTTTACATGTATTGGATTATATTCATGCTCATTCTCATGAGCAATTAATTTCTAGTAACACGGGTTAGTGAATCATATCTCCGGTGTCCCTGCATATATATATATATATATATGACACACGCGAGGCATTCCCATGATTAAGCGCACCAATTTGATGTTATTTATTTGCTTCATTGAATCATGAGCCATGCTTCTATTCATGGTAAAGTTAAAAAAAAAAAAATGAAAAAGTGTAATTTCCATGCACATTCCTCCCTATGTTCATGGTTTCTTCTTAATTACTTACCGGTCCTCATCTATAAATTGGAGTGCAAGCCCACCCATATGTTACCACGCATCGTCCTAGTCTTCTCTCTTCATCATCTCCTCCGACTGCACATAGTTGTTGTCTCCCTTCTGTCTTCGTTTCTGTTCCGATCATTGCTGTGCAACTGAAAATGAAGCTGGCTTACATTGCACTGTGTGCTGTTCTTGTGCTGCTTGTAAACGAAGCGCACATCTCCATGGCGGTTACCTGCAAGCCAATAGAGCTAGCCGCATGCGCAAGCGCAATAACATCGTCGTCTTCTCCCTCCCAGATGTGTTGCAACAAGTTAAAGGAACAGAGGCCATGCCTCTGCAAGTATCTCAAGGACCCTAACCTCCAGAAGCTCATCAACACACCTAATGCTAAGAAGGTCGCCAACACCTGTGGTACCCCCATCCCTAGTTGCTAGATTCAGTACATATATATAGGGGACTCTTACGTACCACCCTCCATTTTCATGTCTGCTTGGTCTTTCTTTTGGGGTGAATATCTAATGGTATATATATATATATATATATATAGCTTAATTATGTTGCTACTTCTGCAGTATGTCTTACGTTTGCTCTTTTAATTTCTACAAGACCATAGTTTACTAGTTGTAAGTGAGCGTGGCAGTTATGGGATTATCAGAGTCTAATGAGAATGTTTTCCAGAAAGATAAACTAATTAAGGGAGAATAGTGATCTGTTTTACATCTAAAATTTCTAGTGCTTTTGATTCCACGTTTATATTATTGCTGCTATTTTATTAGCAGGAGCGTAACAGCCCCACAATTTGTGGATAGACCCATTCCATTTCTAGCAAGTTTGACAGAGAGAAGCCAGTGTAATTGTGGTGCACACTGGAGTCTTCCAATGAATGATGGAACGTGGGACTGAATGGGGGGAATACTACGGACACAGCTGTTGAGAGATGATGATGGATCAAGGCTCTGTTATGTCAGTTCTCCATTTATCAAACACATTGTATATATATATATATATATATATATATATATATATACAACAAGCAGTCCTTCAACAGGAAGCTATAGCTTAGGAGATCAATTACAGAGTGATTGTTTCCGATCCATAAACCCAAAATTTAAGACCATGCATGAATCATAACCCATTAGTCCTTGGAGGATTTAAAGGCGTAATATTTATTCCTACTGACCAATTACGTCAAAGGTCGGTCCATAACTTGACAGTAAACAAAGAAACAGAGTCCATCAAAGTTAGAGTTTATTTTTCTTTTTTGGTTCCATGGGGCTAACCCTGATGCAGGCGGGATTTTTTTTTTTTTTTATATGTTTTGGAGGGTTAGGCAACCATCCCCCAACTCAGGTGCAGGCAGGATTCGACCCCACACCTTACCATCCAGCTGTTCGGCACTTTATTGCAAGCCAAGGTATTTAAAACGGAACGGACGGTTTATTCTGACAAAAAATAAAAAGTAATAACAATAGTTTGACCACTTGGGTCAAATTGGTCAATAATTTGCAGACCAAATCAATGGTTTTAAACAAAAAAAAAAAAAAAAGAAAGAAAATGGTTCTAGGTTTAAATGGAACCAACCATGTGATCGGTTCCCAGTTTTTTCAATCCAACCGTTTAGGTCTAGTCTGATTTTAAAGCATTGATGATTCAATCCCAAGTCTCAGCTACAATCACATGGAGACTTTACCAAGCAACCAGTTGACACCTTATGTTTCTTTGGAAGAAAATGAACGCTCATTGCTCGTATAGTCCAACAAAATTTCAGACTTGTACTATTTTATAAAAACGCATTAAGGCTCCTATCTATCTATTTTAGGATTTAAAAAGGCTATAATAGTTATTAAACAATGCTTATTTACTCTTGAGGAAGTCTGGTGAAATGATGATTTGTTGACCCCGCAGCACTAATGAATTTGCTTCATGGCTTAAAAATATGAATTATTTGAAATAAACATACAAGGCCTATATAGACTCCATCCCCTCTTAACTAAAAAAACCATTCTAAGGCGGAGGCGGAGATCCCTTAGGCTGTGTTTGGTATGAAAGAAAGACATAAAGGAAAGAATATCAGGTTTTCCCTATCTTTCCCTCCTTTCCGATCTATACCATAACCTCTTCTTTCAAACCAAATACAGTATTAAGGTGCCGAAATGAATTCTTGAACACTTCTGTTTACCAGAAAACAAAAAAGGATTTTTAAAAACTTACAGGCCGGACAGAACAAACGATTGAACTTTTAAACCGCGAAAGCAAGAAACATCTGAAACTAGTGAATGACATTATTCTTAGATTTAAATAATTATACAACTATTGCAGGAACTCCAACATTCAACAATGGTTATCTCTCTCTTAGTGATCGGAAATGACAGCTTTTGTGTATTTGATTCATAAAGAAAATTGGATGATATTTGAAGCGCATTTCTTTCTTTTTACATGCCACTTAATGAAGTTTACGATTTTAGAATAAATTGGCATGTTTTGGAGGATTATGTACTGAATTGGAATATTATTTTAAAGTTAGGGGACCAAAGTGAGACTAGACCCAAAGAAAAGGGTACTAATTTGCAATTTTCTTTTATCTTTTAATTTTCTAATGTTGTCAATGGTTGGTCTGGTCCTAATCAAGATACACTCAATCTTGATCTAATAAGTAAATGTGTAGAACCAGTTCCAAACCAGACTCTAAGTGAATCATTGGGAAATTTTAGTTCATTTACTATCTCTGAATTAAATTGTTTAGTCAAATAAAAACTTATTCAAGAACTTCACCTAACAGTTTAAGCTTTTAGGCTGAATGGTTCGTAGGACAATTATAATTATGTAACTCATTCATTTGGATATCATTATAATTATGCATGAAAATCGGTATAAAACAATCACAATGCACAATGTAGATTCATCCATCATCGTGCGATACGCCGGTAGGGCGTATCAGCCTATATCGGTATTTTTTTTTTTAATTTGGTTCCAAATGACTAGTTTAAGGCTGATCTACCCCGTGAACCACTTGTTGACCTAAAATACCCCCTGTGGGGATGTATCGAAAAGGCCCAGATACAATACATATCGGTCCAAATGAATCGTTGCATATATATATCAAAATTTTGAACCTTGGATTGATTCTGAATTAGGTGGGCTGGTTCAGAAATTATCCAAAGCCCAGTGCTCACTCCTACGTTATATCTGCATCATTTATTCCATGTGGCTAAAGGAGGGAATAGTCTGTTAGCGCTTCCAAACTTGCTAGCTATTCACATCACTGTTCAACATGTTTACAATTTTCTAAACATGCATATCAATTCATAATCCTACTTAGTTATACTCTTGTGTATATCTGCATCTTGTTATTTTGTTCAGGAGCTACTATATTCATGTGATAATTTGGGTTGGGTTTTTCTATTTTATGCAGGACAATAAATCAAATTTAACCATTTAAATTTTAAAATTAAATTCGAAAGGTTGGTCATCAGTAGTATGGTAATGGGTCCATAACGTATGAAGCGAGTACAATTTTTAGGAAAGCAAATAACTACTCTTACGTTTTTTTTTTTTTGAGAGTGAAAATAATTACATATTTGATATTTTTTTCCTAAAATTAAAGAATAGACATTATCATCAGTTTTGGCGATCCATCAATCCATTTTAACCTGCTCAATCTTGACATGTGTTTTTTAATAGCCCAAGACATTACTTCGAATGGAGGGCAACCACCTTAAAATTTTAATAATTCAAAATAACAAAAACAAAAAAATAGGGAGGACTTAATCCACCTTACCAAAATCGGAGATTACAATTATCTCTCTGCACATTCATGACTCAACCCACAAGAAACAAAAGACAAATCGGACTTAATATTTAATCCTCAAAATATTAAAACCAATCCAATCTCCTAGTATCAGCCTTCAAATTATGTGAGATTATCTAACTATAATGTGAGATTATATCATTTTAATTAAATTGAGATTTTCTATCAATAAATCACATTCCAACCCTCTACCAATTTGATTATCATGAGACTAGAACCTATCGTGTTGTGGCAGATGACCCCGACTCATTTTAATTGGCTGACATAACCTGATTCATTTTTTATCTCCATCTTGCTAAAAGCCAAATATTAATATATTAATTATGATTTTTAAAGGCTATTTATGATTAGAGAAAAATAACAAAAAAAATGCATGCACGTTACCAACATGACCAAAATGCCAACATTAAATTAGAGAAGCATCACGTCATTTGCGATACATAACAACACTTTATTAATACAATCATATTATCTAGACCTAATAATTCTATAAATATGTTTTATAGCCTACAAATTTGTTAAAATGTATACCATTAAAATAATAGAAAAAAAAAGATTCGAAAATCCACCGTACGAATCTCTCCAGATGTCAACATCCACGTAAGCAGCCATCAACCAACCACCATGAAACTTGAATATATTCAACGAATGGGAATGGCGAGAGCATGTTTCACATGTTAGGCACGTGTTTCGCAGCATTGTAGATCACGTCATAATTTATAAACGAGACATGCCTGCCGCCCACGTTGTAAGTTGTAAGCGACAATTAACCATTCAGATCAGTGATTATATGATATAATGCAAAAATGCAACACAAGCTGTATTAATTCCCCACTACCATTAGCACCAAGCCATCAATAATCAACTAACCCCCGATGGGCCTGGGCGTGGGCCTTGGATTCAATGCTCGAAATTCGCTATTATGTCCAATAGAGGAAACTCATTCATTCAAAGGTGTCAAGGGTTCTAATTAAAGTTGCTAACTATTACCAATACCCGATAGCCTAAACACCATGCCACCTTTTTTTTTTTTGAGGGAAATGAATGGGAAGCAGAGCATGTTACATGTTTATTTGGAGAGGGACGATATGGATACGTCAGAGATGAGGTCAACACGTTTCGCCTTTGTCATCAACACTTGTATTATCCAAACATAAGTAGAAAGTGGAACCCTGTTTGGATCCCACCTAATTGACTGCCAACCCCATCACCATGAAATGTTTGAATAATGAAGATTGGGGGCCCATAAAATACTTGCTACGTTGGACAAAGCCCAATTAACAAAGGCCATAGATTTTACATCCACAATGGCAGTAGTAATAATGTTGCAATAATCCGTGCCTGCATGTAACCTAAAACTAATGCTCAAAGGAAACGATAGAAGAAGCAATCAAGATGAACTCCTCACCTTGGGCAGCGCCACCATAAACAGATTCCATGCCCATAACTATATCTATTAAAGAAGCTATGATGAACACCTGGGGTTTGGCGAGAAATTTCGAGCAAAATGTTATTAGGCTGCATTTTACATTTCTTGGACTTAAAAATTCAATAGTCATAGGGGCATTTTAAGATGAATCCTTAAAATAAGGAATGTGAAATGCAACCTAAATCTATATGGGGCACAGGGGCAGCTTAAATCTGAGGAGAAAAAAAACCTTACCCGTCCTCCACCGACACGACAGTAGCCACACTCTCTATCTCTTGGTCTTGCATGGATGCATGACCATATGATATCAATACCCGAATCAAGCCTTGTTAATTATGACATGGGACCTCTTCACTCTTCTAGTGGATGTTACTCTGGTCTTACTACGTTTCCTTATCCAATTCCGGAACTTCGGGTTGGGTATCACAAAACCCATGCCCCAACCCAAATCCAAACTTTGAATTTTCAAGTAGAAGCTGTTTGGGGTTTGACATTATCCATGCTTACTAGCTAGGATTTAGGAACTGCAAGTCTGGAGCTTGGGACTCGGGTAGATAAGGGCTGCCCACTTTTAACTCGAGGAGGTCTATTAAAGGAAAGCAATTCAATACCACGTCATCATCCGGCAATTTTGACCATTCTGTTCAAGCCCCAAGATAAATTCGGATCATTCCAAAAATGCAAAAGAATAAATTCGGATAAAATAATCCTACGTGTCAGCTCCGTTATTCTTTATTTGAAAATAAGTTTTTAATCCTTGGCGATGTGATGATACGCGGCGCACAGGCAGGATGCACCTGAACTAGAATGTGAAGGCCTAGTCATACCTTCTCTTTATCTAAATCCCTATATATAACAGAAGGCCTAGTTTGCTCCTCCAGCCAAGCAAAATATTGGTAATGCAATCAACACTCTGATACAATCCTTTTTCCCTAATCCATTTATCCATTTCACAATAAATAGGGAAGAAAATTTATTAAGAACAGCCTGTGAAGCACCGTTTGTCTCACCTCTCCTTTCACTGTAAGATCTTAACATCTCTCCCTCTCTCTATCAGTCATCACCGCCATGGCTTCCGACCTCTCCATGATCCTCCCAAGAGTCCTCATCGTCTCAAGACGAACAGTTCGTAAGAACAAGTTCGTAGATTTTGTAGGTCAGTCCTCTTTTTTATGCCCATTTTTTCTTATTACTTTAGCCCTGTTAATGTTAAACAAAATCTATAAAGCCATCTTTCAGATCTCCAATAACAAACAAAAAAATAAAAGGGTTAGTTTTATTCCCTTCCCCGTTGATTTCATTTCCTTGTTTTTTCTCTCTTTTTCCTTTATTACATTTCTCTCCTTCGCTCTATTTCTCATTTCCCTTTCGCTTTCTCTTATTTTGACGGCTCTTTTTCCCTGTAATACATTTCCCTTTTCTTATTGGACCCCTGTTCTTTTACTCTCGCCTTGCCCATGGAAAAACCATTCAACAGATTTCTGGAAAAAAAAAATAAATAAATGAATAAAGAAACAAAAACAACGGTTATGTTTGCATGCAATCTAACGAAAAGTAGCTCTCTTTGTTTAGGCGAATACCATCTCGATCTCATAGTAAGTTATGGAGCAGCACCGGTAATCGTCCCTCGAGTAGCCGGAGTCCACACGCTATTGGACAGTTTCGAGCCAATCCATGGAGTTCTCCTCTGCGAAGGAGAAGACATCGACCCATCACTGTATGATGCCGAACTATCAGATCTTTCAGAAAAAGAATTGGAGGAGATCAGGCAATTGCATGCAAGCGATACTGCAATTGACAGAGAGAAGGACACGATCGAACTGAGGCTCGCTAAGCTGTGCCTCGAAAGGAACATACCCTACCTGGGGATCTGCAGGGGGTCACAGGTCCTAAACATTGCATGTGGGGGTTCCCTATATCAAGACATTGGGAAAGAGCTCTCAAAGAAATGCCCAGATGGTCAAAGTGTAGTTCACATTGATTACGATAACTACGACGGGCATCGACATCCTGTGAAGGTGATGAAGAACACCCCTCTACAAGACTGGTTTAAGGCGTCGCTGGATAAGGATAAGATGGAGCTTTGGGTGAATAGCTACCACCATCAAGGTGTCAAAAGATTAGCCCAGAGATTTGTTCCCATGGTTTTCGCTCCAGATGGCCTGGTTGAAGGTTTCTACGATCCAGATGCCTATAATCCCGAAGAGGGTAAGTTCATTTTGGGCCTCCAATTCCATCCAGAGAGAATGAGGCGGCCGGGTTCGGACGATTTCGATTACCCTGGTTGCCCACGTGCGTATCAGGTAAATCTCTGTGCATGCATGTTCAATTCTGATTTTGAGGAGTTGGATAAGCATAATCTAATCACTTATTGATTGCATGCTTATCATCAGGAATTTGTGAAGGCTGTGGTTGCTTACCAGAAGAAGTTGAATAGCATGAAAAGCGTGCCAAAAGGTGTGAAGCTTGATCAGGAAATGGAAAAGAAGAGAAAGATAATTGTTAGGAGTTTCTCAATGGCGAGAGACATGTACGTTACAAAGCGTGAGTTTCCTCCGTCGGAAAAAAGCTATCTTCAAGCCGGAGCTGAGTTTCTTGTGGTATGACGCGACATGCATTCTAGGCGAATACACGATTAATTATTATTTTTTTTTATATCCTCTTGGGTTTTCAGATTCAGAGAATTGGCCTAATTATTTACATATGCTGTGTTTCTGTAACTGTTTGTAGTCGAATACAGCTCTGAGCATGCAACAGGAGAAGAGATTGAAGCAGATGGGTGCAACGGTTAGGAATGCGTATTCGTATCTAGAGAAGCTGAAGATGAACGAGGAGAGGGAGAGATTGGCAAGGAATATAATGGCGAAAATGCCAGTAGAACAATTGTCTGATCTAATGTCTTTCTACCACACGATGGGGATTGTATGCTCGGAGTTGTTGGAGAGAAAGCTCCAGTCCCTTAGTGGAAGTTAGTTCATGACTTCTTGGGTTCTCCTCTCTCTCTCTCTCTCTCTCGGATCTGTTGTGGAAAAGCTGTACTTCTCTTGTAACTTCTAAGGCTTGAAAATGGAATTTGATCGGGTTGGCCCTTGTGTTCTTCTTTTTGTGTCTCTTAACTTGTTGTAGTGTTGTTTTCTGGTCCTCGCAAGCAAAGAAAAAATGGAAGCTGTTGTGGTTTTGGCTGTAAAGTTAGGGTTTATAAGAACTAATTGCTTTCTTTTCTTTGGTTGATTTCATTCCTGCACTCTAATGAACAAGGACAAGTAGCAGAAGAGGACATGGGGGGAATTTTACCTTGGCAATCGTATTTATATGTTGCACAAGGTTTTGATGGCAGTCTGGTTCTGGTAGGAATAGGATTATGATGAGTTTGCATGTTGGCTTCACGTGACCAACACGTGAAAGTAAACAAGTAGAAATAAATTCACGGACTACAGAGTACAGACACCGAGACACGGAACCGCACTGGATCTGGATGCAAAACGCCAAAACCGGCTAGCCACTGGTAGGTATTCAACCGTTGGGTCCCATACCATCAACTGCTCTGGAGTCAAACGTGTAACGTTTCCATGAACGATACCCTGCTCTTTTAGTTTCAACTTTCTACTTTCTAGGGCACCCACAATGGATACCCGCATGTAACCCAGGGCCCATATTTTCAAATGGGCTCACTCTAGGTCCAAAAAACTTAGGTCTGAGAGAAAAAATAAAATAAAATCTAGCAACTTTCAAGCTCTATAGCTGAGCCCGAGCCTTATTTAAATTTGTAACTTAATACCAATCTTCCTCGTCAAAAAATTCAATTTATATTTATTTATAGATTGTGAGAAGAAGAGAAGAAAATGAAGAAGACAGGAAACTGACTAACTGAGGAAGTTTGGTTAAAAAATACAGAGCCAAGCTGTGTTAACTAGCAGAGCTTAAGCTAGTCAACCGACAGAGCCAAATCATATTAGAGAGAGAGAGAGAACCAGATTAAAAAGTGGAGAGTGAAAAGCAAATAGCAATTTGTACTTGTAAGTGTTTTGGTAACGAATAAATTGCTATACCCGCAAAAAAAGAATTAACACAATTATTTGTGTGATTAATGCATTTAATAGGTAATTAATGGATCTCTCGCTTCCACCAATATTCCCTCCTAATTCTGGAGCCTTCTCTTCAGAACCAACAACCAAGCAAGGGAACCACGTGGCAAATGAGCTGTTTTTAAGCCTATAAGGGTCTAAACTTTAAAGGAGCTATAAGCCTACGTGGCAAGGTATATTAGACCAATAAATTCTGAATCAGAATAAAACTTCCTCTTTTCTTCTTAAATGAAACGCTTCGCATCACTGTTCATAGTTTGTCTTGCTGTTTTTACATTTTCATCCATATCTCTAAATATATGAATATTTAGGTTTTTTTTTCTGGAGGGTTTTATAACAGATGATCAGCACCAAACGTTCAATGGTCCGAAGAGAGTGAAAGCACAAATTAAAATCAGAGTGGTTGTTTCTTTACCCTCATGTTTATAGTGCAGTTTTGAGCTGTAATAGTGAAGGGAACCCATAAAGTTGGCACCATGGTTAGGTTAATATCTGGAATTGTAGTAAAAGCATGCATGCAGCATTAGTGCTCAGCATAACGGTTGTTAGATGCCTGGTTCATGTAGTTATCACCTAAATTAAGTGAGCAAGTGAGCAAAGATGGGTATTTGATTGATAGAATATTATACATTTGAGTGGATCTTTGAAATATATCATGGTATTGGATATTGGACGAAGATAAGGCTCATCCTCATCCCGGATTTATATATTTCTGTATAGTTAGGATTTAAAAGTTTTAAAAGTTTTGTATTTCCTTTTGGATTAGGAGTTGGTTTTTTAGAAAGTTTTGAGGAGCAAAAACTCTGATCGAATTTGTATATATCATAAGATATCAATGGGAAGGTGGATCTTGGGGCTTCCAAAATTTTTCATGGTATCAGAGCCAGGTTAAGATGGGTTTTCTCTTCTGAATATGTGTTAAGACTGCCTCTGGTAAATCATCAGAAAGGAGCATCGCGGAGTTCCATGTGGCAACATAATCCAACCCGATCCACGGTAAGCTCCCTGCTCCTCAATACCACCGCCTTCATTCCGAGCACAGCCAACGATGACTTCACTACAATACCCTCAGCAATAGCTCTTATGCGTTCATCCATCTCCGTCTTGGAACGAAAAACTGTAGAGACCAGACCCATGCTCTTCGCCTCCAATGCAGAAAACCTCCGACCGGTAAGGGCCAACTCAACCGCATTTCCATATCCGACGATTCACGGCAGCCTCTGAAGCATCCCAAGATCAGTCGTGATCGCCAAATCAACCTCCTTCACCGAGAAGAACACGTCTTTTGTACAATACCTGATATCGCAGGCCATCACGAGATAGATCCCGCCTCCTATGCACCCACCTTGTATTCCAACGATTATCGGTTTGCGGCACCATTCGAGGGCAGTTATCACATCCTATTGCTTCTCTCCCTGATTAGTTCCTCTGAATCTACAGAGACGTAGGAGAACGATACCTAGTCCCACTCAGTCTGTATGAGTGGGGATGTCATTCAAGCTTCAAATATCAGTACTCAGAGTCGTCGATAATAGGCTGTCAGTTGCTTGGCCACGACGAGCTCGAACGTGAACGGACTTTAACCTTTGTTTCTCGGTCCATCCGCTGGTTCTCGCTCGATGTTGCAGGATCGGAGGAAACCAGGCAGGAACTCGGAATCGGCGAGCTCGCTTGTTCTGATTTCTTTGTGAGTCTCGTCAGGATCGACCATCTACCTCTTAGAATCAAGCTCGACATGTTACTTGCAATAATCAATCAGCTCGGATGAATCTTGCTGATCGGTTACCATGGCTGCCAACAACGAGAGAAATGGTGAGAGCTCGAATAAGTCTGAATGGTGGGGAGACAAACCCCGCGGTACGTCGACCGGACGTGGAGCAGGTCGAGGAAAAGGGGGTGGACCCTCTGGCAGACGTGACCGAGGTTCAGTAAGAACTCATGCTGCTCAGTCATCGGCAAGGCGTGAGGTGGCTGCTAATGCAGCCGTGACTGACGGTGATAGGACTGGACTGAATGGGCTTAATGACGAGCAATGGCAGACTCTTGTAAGCATGCTTAATGCTTACAAAACCAGGACTAATGAAAAACTCTCTGGTAAGAATTACTCCACTGAATGGATTGTTGACTCAGGGGCATCACATCACATGATAGGGAATTTAAATGTGCTCGTCAACACCTATGATGTTGCACCTTGTCCTGTTAGATTACCCAATGGTGCGCACACTGAGGCCATGAAAGAAGGCACCATTGAACTTGGAAATAATTTTAAATTGCTGCACGTATTATATGTCCCAAAACTCAATTATAATTTATTGTCAGTAGGTCGGTTACTTCATGACACAGATTATATTGTGACGTTTACTAATAAGTTGTGTGTGATACAGGACCGCATCTCGAGGACTCTGATGGGTGCGGGTGAACAGCTTGATGGGGTTTATGTCTTCAAGGGTGTGGCGTCGTTTCGAGCTTACAAGACAAATGGAATTGGGTTATGCGATTTGTGGCATCGAAGATTGGGATACCCTTCTTATCAAACGATTAACTTACTTCTTAATATCAGTAATAGTAAGAACAAAACCTGTAATGTTTGTTTGAAGGCAAAACAAGTTAGAGATGTTTTTATTCAAAGCAGTAATAAGGTGACTGATTGTTTTGCATTAATTCATTGTGACTTATGGGATGCTTATAGATTACCTACATCTTGTGGTGCGGTATATTTTCTAACAATTGTTGATGATTATTCTCGAGCGGTTTGGATTTATTTGCTGGCTGAAAAAAGTGAAGTTGGTAGAACACTCAAAAATTTATGTGTCATGATTGAACGACAATGTAATAAGAAGGTTAAGGTGGTAAGAAGTGATAATGGAACAGAGTTTAAATCCTTGAAGTCATATTTTGACGAGAAAGGGATTATATTTCAAACTTCCTGCATTGGAACACCACAACAAAATGGTCATGTGGAGAGAAAGCATCGTCATATTTTGAATGTAGCCAGAGCACTCAGGTACCAAGCACATCTTTCAATCAATTTCTGGGGTGAGTGTGTTTTAACCACAGGATACTTGATTAACCAGACACCTTCAACCCTTCTTGGTGGTAAAATACCTTACAAGATGCTATTTGGAAAAAGTCCTTCTTATAAACATCTCAGAGTTTTTGGTTGCTAATGATTCTCGCATACTAGGGACCGTGACAAGTTTGCCGCTAGGAGTAGGAAATGTGTCTTTGTTGGGTACCCTTTTGGGAAAAAGGGGTGAAAATTGTACGACCTTGAGTCTGGTGATTACTTCGTCTCACGAGACGTGGTGTTTAGTGAGGCCGAGTTTCCCTTTGCCACTCGAGAACATCAACCCTCTGTAACCAGTCCTCCTGTAGCCAAAGAAAATATTGGGTTGCCTTAGGCCACTCCTCCTGACATGGTATCTGAGTCACCTCATATAGAAGTCAGGGGGAGCGACACGATCGATGAAGAAGGGCATCCGAACACGGGTAATGATGAGGAGGCAGGTCCCCTTGATGAGACAAGGAGCCATACAGATTACAGAGATAATGAAACTCCAGTTGCTCCTCAGCTATTTACAGGACTTTGTCACACACTCAGCTCATCGCTTAGACCCCTTCGCTGTTTCTCCTGCATCATCTCAGTCCTCAGGTACTCCTTATCCCATAACTCATTATATGAAGTATGATAATTTTTCTGAGAAACACAAACATTTCTTGGCAGCTGTTACTGCAGACTGAGAACCTACTCGTTTCTCTGAGGCAATGACTGATGCTCGGTGGCGCGAGGCTATGCGCCAAGAGGTACAGGCTTTGGAAGACAATGGGACATGGACCTTGGAAGACCTCCAACCTGGAAAAAAGGCAATCGGGTGTAAATAGGTCTACAAAATCAAGTACAACTCTGATGGATCCATTGAAAGATTTAAAGCACGATTGGTAGTCCTGGGCAACACTCAAGTTGAAGGTCTTGATTACAACGAGACCTTTGCCCCTGTGGCTAAAATGGTCACAGTTCGAACCTTCTTAGCAGTTGTTGCGGCCCAACATTGGGAATTGCATCAGTTGGATGTCCACAATGCTTTTCTGCACGGTGATCTCCATGAGGAGATCTATATGAAATCTCCTCCATTTTTTTCGACCTTCGAGACTAGAAAGGTATGCAAACTCCTGAAATCTTTGTATGGTCTGCGGCAAGCCCCCGGAACTGGTTCTCTAAGTTAGGTGCTGCCTTGAAAACTTTTGGGTTTGAACAGACCTATTTCGGTTATTCCTTATTTACATATCGCAAGAATGGGGTTGTCTTGCACATCCTGGTTTATGTTGATGATTTAATCATTGGTGGAAATAACCCGGAGTTCATACGCAGATTTAAACAATATATGAACCGGTGTTTTCTTATGAAGGACTTGGGTGTTCTTAAATATTTTTTTAGCATTGAAGTGACTCGCGGATCATCGGGGATATTTCTTTGCCAATGAAAATATGCACTTGATATTATTATAGAAACTGGCTTATTGGGGTCCAAACCTGCTCTCTTTCCTATTACTCAGAATCATAAGCTTTCCCTTGCTGACGGAGCACTCCTGGATAACCCTGAACGATATCGACGTCTTGTGGGCCGTTTGATTTATCTAACCATTACACGGCCAAAGCTCAGTTATTGCATCCATGTCCTGACTCAATTTATGCAGTGTCCTCGTGTTGATCATTGGGACGTGGCATTACATGTGGTTCGTTATCTGAAAGGATGTCCTGGTCAAGGAATATTTTTGCGTTCTGATAGTGATCTACAATTGTATGCCTATTGTGATTTCGACTGGGCGAGTTGCCCTCTAACTTGTCGCTCTCTTACTGGGTACTTTGTCATGTTAGGACGTTCCCCCATCTCCTGGAAGACTAAGAAACAACATACTGTCTCCCGGTTGGCTACTACCAGTTGTGAGTTGAAGTGGCTGAAAGGTCTACTGTCGTCTTTAGGTATATCTCATCCTCAACTTATACGCTTGTTTTGTGACAATCAAGCTGCTCTGCACATTGCTGCAAACCTTGTCTTCCATGAGCGAACCAAACATATTGAAGTTGATTGTCATTTCATTCGCAGTGAACTCCAAGCCAACACTATTGCACCTTCCTATGTCTGTACCGGTGAACAAGTTGCCAACATTTTCACAAAGGCTATTAGACAAAAACAGTTTGATTTTTTCCTTCCCAAGCTGAGCATTCACAATCCTCATGCACCACATTGAGGGGGAGTATTGGACGAAGATAAGGGATTTGTATATTCCCTGTAAAATTAGGATTTAAAAGTTTTAAAAGTTTTGTATTTCCTTTTGATTAGGAATTGATTTTTTAAAAAGTTTTGAAGAACAATAACTCAAATGGAATTTGTATATATATCATAACATATCAATGGAAAGATGGATGTTGGGGCTTCCGTAATTTTTCATTGGACTTTGATATTTGAAAGCGTTATTTACTTTTTGCACAGAAAAAGATGTGTTATTTATTTCCTTAATTGAACCCAACATGATGGTAGTCTTGGGCGTTGATGAAAATTACGGGTGGCCATCCAAGCCTAAGCTTAAGATGATTTTTTTTTTTTTGAGCACAGCTTAAGATGAAAATTGAAAACCTTGGGAGCGTGCCTAGCCTAACCCAAAATCAACTATGAGTAAAACATAAGCTGGATTTCGACTTTAATCCAATGCAAGTTAGGCTGGATTCAGACTTGATATTTGAAAGGATTTAGGAGTATATTTTTATACAACCATCTATTATTGGGCTTTGTTAGTCTAATTCACGAGTAGAATGGATTGAAAAAATGTGTAAATTTCATTAACAAATGTACATTTCATACATACAATTAAAATGAAGAGGAGAAAAATCCATTATAACAACAATGGGTACGTACAGGCATAAACAGCATCTCTGAAAATCCTAGCGCCCTTTACACCCAAAACCCAGTATCTCCATCATTCTTTGTGATGTCAAACCGTAGAAGCAGGTATGGGACCCATATAAAAACGGGTCAGGTTCATACTGCGAGAGTTCAGCCCCTGCACAGACCTCAAAGAATTTTCTTCCCTTTTGGGTGCTCTACAAGTGTTGGGTCGGGTCATGGAGCGAACGACAATCAGGAATTCAAGACACAAAAACTTAACCCATGATACCATGCCCACCACAACATACTTTCCTCTAACAGCTTCCTAAATGGCTAAATCCTAACGGCTCCAATCCCCACCTCCATTTGCACCATGATTGGAAATTGTTTTCCTACCACCGTCGTAATGATAGATCGGGAAGCTTTCAAACCACCAAACGGTTTGATCTGCGAGATCATCGGTGTTAAGAGCTAGATGGTCAAGGCTCTGATTAATTTGATAAAATCGACATTAAGGTTAAAAATGTCATTTTGCACTTAAGTAAATAAAACTGGTAATACACAAATTATAGGATAGGTTTTATTAAAATTATAAGGATTATTTTAAATGACCCTTTATAAACATATAAATAAGGTTCAAAGTATCGACACGTATCACCCCATATCAGCCAATACGTATCAATTCGGGACCCCTCCAATATGCTCCTACAGTGGGTGTTTCAGGGGTCTGACTGGTTTAGGGGATGGAAAAGACCTAAACTGGCCCCCCACAACTGGTTGTAAAAAAATATATATATAAAAATACAGTATCGATTCACCCAATACGCATGTAAGGGCGTTACAGACATATTGGTGGGGTCTAACCGATTCAAGGGATGGAGGAGACCTAAACCGGCCCCTCTGAACCGATTATGAAAAAAAATAAAAAATAAATAAAATGCATTATTGATTCGCCAAATACGCCCTTTTGGTGTATCAATATTTTGAACCTTACATATAAACATTATCAATGGCCCATGCAGGCCTCGAACCTGCGACCTTCGCGTTATTAGCACGACGCTCTAACCAACTGAGCTAACAGGCCAGTTGCTTTTACTCTTACTTAGGAAATTTACTATCAATAATATTAGTTTGTACTTTTCCAATGTTTTAAAAACTACTTTTCAAAACAATATTATTTTCTGTCAGTTGACTGGTCATTAGTTCAAGTGTTCAACCGTATATACAGATTCGTATTTTCATAATGGTAACAACTTAAAACTTGATTTTTGATAATAAATATCAATATATATATAATATAATTATAGAATGAGGATACGTGGCACCTAAGCGTAGAGTAAATGAAATCTACATGAACGGGATTAAGGGCTTTTTCGTTTACTCTGAAGTCTGACATCTAAAAGTGCAATAATTACATTAAAAGGTATATTGGTATTGGTGAACTTTTCTTTCCTCTAAACTCTAAATACAAAAAAAGCTGCTCTGAACTCTGAATTCTAAATTCTAAAAATTATCAAATATCTATTTTGACCCCATATATTAGAGTTTTTATTTATCTTTTTGGGAATGTTATTAAAAAACAGAAATGTGTATGATTGCACTTTAAGAGAGAAGGGATAAGAGGAAACGAACAACCATTTTTGTCTTAAAGTTAAAAGATTCTTCTTAAGAGATAAGAGTTAAGAGGAAATGAACAGGCCCTAAGTTAACATGCAAAAACATCAATACTCGTGCGACTTTCACACCCTGTCTCTCTTTCTGCTTTTGTACCCCTCTCAGGTTTGCTCCCCCTTTCTCGTCCCCCCTCTCTCTCTCTCTCTCTCTCTCTCCAACCAACTCTCTCCCTCTTTTCCCTCTCTCCTTCTTTTCGTCTCTCACTCTATCTCTCATTTCTATCTCTGCAACTCTAACCAATCGGCTTTGGTTGTCTCTCACCATCCCACCACAACAACTCCCAAGGACTAGCTTTCTTTGTCTCTCACCGTCCCATGGAAAGTCACAAGCAAGTGAATGCTACTGCTTCCGACGATCTTTGTCTCTCTCACTCTGTCTCTCGTTTCTGTTCCTCTCTTCCTCTTTCTCTCAGTCTTTCCCCCTCTCACTTTGGGGGCGTTCTTTTTTTTGGATTTTGAGAGGGGGGAAAGCTGGTCAGCGGGGTTTTGATTCCCATTAATCAAAAATCTCATGTTCTTTTTTCATATTTATGTGGGGACTAGGGAAAATTTATTTTCCTAGGTACTACTTACCCTAATAAGTGATACCCATCTCCTAGGTGGGTAAATAATTTTCCCACCTTAGGGGTAAGTTGCCAACACTTGAAAGGGACAAAAATGCCCCTTGTAATAATGGATTTTTATGGATAAAATGATCATTGACTTATTTACATGGAAAATAAAAGAACATGGGTAAATACACTTATCGAGATAAATCTTTCTTAGAAAACAATTACCCAAATAAATTTATTTATCCGGATAAATGACTTACCAAAAAATGTGAATAGGGCTTTGTGTCTCATTTTTGTTCCCCTTGAACGGTGTTGTGTCTCTCCCTCTCTGACCAACTCTGTCTCTCTCCCTCTATCTCTGCCGACTCTAACTAGCCAATGATGATGCAAGTGAAAGTTGTTGTTTCCTTGTATTTTTGCATTATGGGGGCGTGTACTGCAGGCCACCTCCAGGCGATGAGAAGATTGATAGCAACCATCACTGGCGATGAGAAGATTGATAGCTTCGATTGGGATAATAACCTACAATCACTTGCAAGCATGCGACAGTAAGAATTATTTTATTTTATTTATTATAAAAAATAATTAATTTTTCTAATGATCGACGGACATTCATCCTCTAGCTAATTAATAAGTGTTTGTGTCTTCGAAAATTTTCCTAACTGTTTATACCACTAAATCTTTTGTTTGACTGTTCTAACATTTCAATGACTGTTGGACTTAGTGGGTGAATAGGAATAAGCATTTTAGTGACTATTCGACTTACTAGGTGAATAGTCATAATCATTCTCCTTGGTAGATTGTATCTTTCGATTGAACATTTTCTATAAATTGAACTTCATGAGTGGGCCTTGCACTATCTTTTAATCTTTGCTCTTCTGGCAACTATCCTTCTCTACTCTCTTTTATTGTTCTAATGTTTTTTAGATTGTATTTTTTATTTTGTCTCCATCTTTGTGTTTTCAGAACTATGGATTTATGTTTGTCCCTTATAGTTTCTTTGGTGATTAATACTTTTTTTTCCACTATAGCAACAACAAAGGTAGAATTTGCATTTTTTAAGTCAAGGTATTTGTGACTACTTTCACCTCAATTCGATTCCATATTTGTTTTGGATAACTCGAATGGTTACAACTTACAAGTGTATCATGCATATATTATGATTCCATGCATTCCATGAATCTTATACTATTTTTTTGGAAATTCTAACTTTTTTTACTATCTATGTTGTTTATTTCATGAGTAGAATGTCTGTGTTCTAATTTTATTGTATGCTAATTTATGTATTAAGCTAGATATTGATAATAGCCCAAAAGAAATAAAAGGAAACAAAAGATTGATATGACAAGAATCTAAAAGAATTCTTGTATGTGATGATGCTGGCTGTTTGGTGCAGGAATTACTAGGGATATTTGCATGCTTGATATTACAAGCATTTTAATAGTCCCACCAATTCAGCATTTGTGGCCTATGGGAGAGTTAGATCTAAAGTTAATGAAGGGAAAGGTTTTAGATCTGGGGTGGGTTTAGAGTATTGTGAGTATTGTGTTATCAACACTCTAATCTAAAGCCCTACTAACCTAAGCATCTTTGCTAACTGTCAGGATCTGCGCTGTGTACACACAATCAGCTCTGGACATCTTTGTAAGGCATGCATGTGGCCTGGGCTCATCTAATCTGAAGAAAATTGAAAGAACACTCTCTGCACTTGAGTCTAGGACATATCCAGACTCTTCCCCTGCAATATAGTAATAATACATTCAGCAACTTCATTGACACCATGAAAACTAATCCAAAATGCCAGATATTTGTCAAAGTAGTTTTTATTTAGAGTGTCAACCACTAGTAAGATCAGATGGAAAACTCCATGACTTGAAGACAGGTTAGTCTTTTAAAATATTTGATTTACCTGATCCAAGAACTAGAAAAACAATACAACATAATGTCATGTTCACAATGTACCATTCATTTCATAGAACAAAATAATAATAATTATTTGAAAACTTATCTTCTGTGAAAAAATAATTAATCAATTAATTACTTTCATTTAATTATATTAAGTGAGATAATTAATTTTAATATAAATAATCTTCCTCGGTACGTGATTCTATAGTGCTAGAAGAATCTCTGGAGTGATATCATTATCCACTTTTCCTAAAACACAGTTATCTATCTCCAGAAATGAAAAGAAAAAAAAACAATATCTTAAATGGTTGTTCGATCTCTCACTAATTGGTGTTTTCCAGGATCTTGTCTTTAGAGGAGGTGGAAGGCTAGAAGTTGTCAATTTTCTTTAACTCCTCAAGGATGCCTTATTTCAATTATTTCATCTTAACTATAGAATATGGTCCTTTGATCCTCTTGAAGGCTTCTCCTTGTTATGGGCACGACTCCCGGTAACACACTGCGTCGCAACCATAGGCAGCAGCACGCACCACTTGGTAGAACTAGAGTTGTGCTTCATCGATCAAGTGGAATGCTGTTAGGCTGACCTTGTCCTTCTTCTGTGCGTTGATTGCGGATCCGCCACCATAGGGTCAACTTGCAAAGGAAAGGCAAGGAGTTTTCCCAACAAACCGCCCCGTGACGAGATCCTACGCCCGGGCCCATAAAACTCCTATGCCTCTTTCTATAAAGTATTAGACTCTTCTTCTATTCCTCTTCCTTTTCCCACCCAGGGCCATTTGGGATGGCCCTATGTACCATGACTAGGATCTTTTTTTTTTTTTTCCTGGAGCAGCCTTGAAGATAATTAACACTGGCGACATGTTCTAATGCCGGTGAAAATCTTGGTGGGAATGTTATTCAGTCTTGTTTTACCCTCACTTTGAGCATATGAAACCACCTTCCCTTTCGTTGGCATTACTTGCTCTCCACCAGCTGATATATTGGGGCTGTTCAAGCCTCATTTTACATGACTAAGGAAAGGGGAACTTATATAGAATAGAGGTATTCAAGAGTATCTATCATGGAATATCTAGATTGAAACAAAGCCTTGTATTTAACACTGACTATTTGGACTTTAAAAACAAGCTCTTATCCTAATAAGAGCCCAAAGATTTCGTACGTATCAATAGGGCTGTCAATGGGTTGGTTCTACCTGACTGCCCCAACTGAACCAAATCGATTATGTCGGTTCAGATCCCATGATTTTGTTCTGATTAATAACTGGGTCGGTTACAATGAATTAAAGAACACGCAAGATTGTATGTCATGCAGGTTTCATATCCCCTACAATGCATCTTAGACAATGTTGATGTAAATATACTTTTTTTTCGTCTAATTAATTTATTTTTCCATTTGCTTCCCTACAAGCATTAATTACAGGAACATCATTTATACAAGTATTATAAATTGTAATAAAATTTACTTATAAAATCAACGAGTACATTACATAAAGACAAAACAAGCATAAAATCACAAGTTAAAGGCCAAGAACTGTTATGCCCTTATCAAGAAAGGTAGGCGAAAGTGTCTAACAAATTTGATTTGCAAGATGACAATCCTCTTTGCTTTCCCATTTCTATTGTGCTATGCTGAGTGTATCAATATTTTATTGTTATTTTTTAATTATATTTGCACTTATTGCTGCTTTTGGTTTTTAGATTTGTGCTGTGTGTTTTCTCATTTGAATTATTTTTCTTAATTTATTGAATTGCTTTCTTCTATTTTTTCTTTTTATTTAGTGATTATGATAAATCTCTTTTCCTTCCTTTTTTATATTTGTATTGACCTTGTAAGGAGTAAAATGGTGGGTAGGTTTAGAACTGCTACGCATAATGCATAGCAATAAAGGTAGGGGAATGTGGGGAGTTATGGGGTTGGAATGTTACAGTCAAAGGAGGGGTAAAATGGTGGGTTTAGGGCCTAGAACTGCTATGCCTTTAACAGGAATGGTAGGGGAACGAGCTGCTGTGATTTACAGCAGTAGGACAAAACCAATGGAGAGAGAGAGCGAGCTTGATGTCATGTCTCTTACTTGATTTATATTGAACTACATTACCATGATGAAATTGTTATTTTTGCAGGATTGTCATCTTGCTCCTGGTGTTCATTAACGGTTGATACAAGTGGAAAATTAAATGAGAGGAATAACAAAAGAATAGGGAGGTAAACAATAACTAATTTCTTGGTTATTGTAACATTTAATAACATTTTATATTCTTTTATGACACATGCCATTTGCTAAGTGTACATGCATGCATTTGAAGTGAAGTAAACATGTTTTATTCTATGAGGATTGTTATAGAATATCCCATTCCATATAGTTTTTCTAATAATTAAAAAACATATAAAAGCAAACCTATTTTTTATGTAGATATCTTGGGTTCCACTACCTATAATCATTTGGCATATCTGAAAATTTTATGATTTAGTGGGAAATTGAACTCCCAAAGTTTGTATCAAGTGTACATGAACTCGAATGGTCCAAGGCTGTCCAAGCTGGGAGTCAAGTCCACATTTTCGGCACCAATTAAATTTCATATATTATACAGAATTTGCATCCAACCATTAGACTGCTGATATGCCCACTTTCTATATAACATGAACTCACTATCATGCACTCATGCTCCAAAACAAACATGCTTTTGCTGCATTGAATTGTGGTACAAAAGAATTGACCCTGTTGAAATTTTATGTTTTGCAGGGTACTGTAACACCCAAAGGGGGAAATTAAGAATTGACCCTGTTAAAACACAAAGAACCTCTGTGGGTCATCCTTGAGAAGGAGGGAAATTAAGAGGAAGTTGGTAAGGATTTATGAAATTGTTAAATCGGATTATTTTTGTCCCTTTTTTTAGATGGTTTCTACAAGTTAAATTGTATATGAAGATGGCAAATTACTGGTGCCCATAAATAAACTTAACACATTCCAAATTAGTGTATATACTAATTTTTAAGTGTCAAAGAAGATTGTGTGCAATCTGGACTTCCAGTGACATATTTTGAGGCATAAAGTCATTAATTGTTGTTGAACTTGGATTACACTGAAGTTAACGCATCCCAACTAATTGAAATTTACAAGTTTCATAGATTTTTTTTTTACTCTCACAATCAATTGATTTATCCAACAAGACAAGGCTAATCTGATCAGTTGGGCCTTAATTTGTATTAAAAGGAGAAGATAGGAATTCAAAAATCCCAGTATTCTTTTAAAGTAAGTTTCTCTTTTGCTCTTGGAGTATTTGATAATTTGCTTTTATACTCCCCCTTCAATACCTCTGCACTATATTATGAAGTTCACAATTTTATATTCTTATTCAGGCTAATTAAAATAATTGAGTGATAGCCCCTGCATAGCAGGGGCCCCTCCGCTAGTATAATCTTAAAAGAAATGATTATATTGATAAAATAAATGCTTTTATACAAAATTAGGATCTACAAAATTTATTATTTCGGACATAAAATATGACAAAATTTACAAAATGGAGGCCTTTACATATTATAAAATAATTGGTTTGGAACAGCAAAAACCAGTCTTGACCCAATCCAATTATTAATCAGGACAAAAGCTTATAGCTAGTAAACATAATTAATTCGGCCAGTTCTGTTCTGTTGGGTAGATCAAACCCATTGGAGTGAACTTGGATTGCTGTTAGACTGACTAGATAAAACTCAAAAAATAATGTTCGAGTTAGGACTTCGATCAACTTAACTCAATTGAGAAAATCGTAGGGCTTCTTATACTTCAATTTCTTTTAAGAAATCCTGTGCATTGTACAGGTCCTGAGTCCTGACTACTGTATAATTAAAAAATACATTTTTATATAAATAAAATACATGTATGCATGTATTTGCTCAAGCAGGCTCAAGCTGGGTCAGGACAGGACATGCTCAGGCTACCCAAGCCCAACCTGAGTTTATGTGAGGCCCTTTCTGGAGCAGGCCCAGCCTGAAGCCTGAAAACTCAAGCCCAACCCATGCACAAGCTTGGGTTGGGCCAGATCGGGCTCAGGTTGGGCTCACCCAACTGACCCAAGTTGCAGCCCTAATCAAAAGTCATACCATTGGTCACATATCGGCAATAAGCTTTAGTCTTGACGAGTAAACATTATGAGTTATGACCTAACTTGCAGGAATCTATTTATATGAGTCATTGTAATTAGAAATGAAGAGGGCTTTGAACTTATGGCTAAAATATGGAGGAAGAAGGATGCTCAATGCTAGAATAACAGGTTTATTTTTCAGACCTTCCAATTTTAGCTGGCATTTTGAACCACTTCAGTTCCTATTTCTATAAAAAAAAATGACAGTGCCTAAAGGTAACAATTTTGGTAGTATAAATGCTTCTATATTATATCTGAAAGAGGAAAACAATAAAAAGATGAGTTAGCTGTTAGCCCCAAATAGCTTCATAAGTTTGGGATCCTAAGCTTCTCTGTTTATTCTTCCCCACAGTTTATTCATTTATGGTTCAAGTTATCCTTAAGAGATGTACCAAGCAGATATTTACATTATTTCCATACTATTTAACAGGAAACTGGTGTTAGTAGTGCTTTCCTTTAAAAAATAACATGTTTACCAACAGCTCAGCTGCGCCAAACCATGCAAAAGCCGGTAGGGTTCTGTACACCGGCACTCTTTGTAAGAAACAAAGAAACAGAGAAAATGATGCTCCGCCATCGTTGAAATAATAATGTACTGCCTTTGGGAGCATGGGGGGTCCAATAAAGGAGAAAATGTTGAGAGACTTCACAGATTTGGAGAGATGGCACCTAATGGTCAGATAAAGGATTTCATATGTTGCAGGAAAGAAGGAATGAATCAAGTATATTATTAGAAAGAATGAGAATTACAAATTGCCAATAGCAGTAGTCCACTTATTCAGTCCAACTATAATGAAAATAGATGTAACAATTGTAAGGAAACATCCAATGTTGTATATTTACAGATATGCATTGGAGCATCTCAGAGAGACCATAATTATGAAAGTTAAAAGACCAAAGAAGTATGCCTACAAATGTAGAAGGTTAGAAATTGGGTTCCATCCCAAAATCCATGTCCTCTTATCTGCTGGAAGCGCAAAGTTAAGCTCAAACATCTCCTTTGAGACGTTGCCACCTTCACAGAACCCTACCAGCTTTGCCACCATCTCAGCACTCTCCCGTACATGTTTAGCATCGTGAGGATCAGTCCATAACTTATTAACAAATTGATGTTTCCTCTGTTTTCCGTCAATTGGAACATCCCATTTTATGTAGAGTGCATCTCGCTCCCATGAAGTAAATCGTGTCATTAACCTCTTGGCTAGGAACTCCCGCTCGCGCTTCACTGCTCTGATACTGCATAAATCAAAAACCGGTTTAAGATATCCAACAATCTCTAGGAAAGAAAAGGAATGATGTTTTTGTACAACCCCAACCACTCACATCTTCATGCAAAACACAGAGACAGAGACAGAACTACCTTGACGATAGAGAGATTGTTGGTTCATCTCCAAAGTGGGCAGGGCTCGCATTTCCAACTTCGGCCAAGTGTTGCTGCAACCAAGTCAACCGACGAAGCTCCACTTCCATATAAATCTGATCAGCGGGATCACCTTTAAATAACAAATAGAATTGTGTCCTATGTATAATTGACACGTGGCATACATCCCATAACTGGATGATCTGCTGCCTCCAATCATGAAATGTGATATTCCACGGTACAGGTGGTTCTTGTTCATTTATACTCTCATTATCCAAATCATATCCAGCGGCTTCTAGCTCCAGCACCTAAATAAACATTCCATGATTGTAAGTATTCAAGGTCAAGGGTGTAGTGGTCTAGCTAATATGCAAAACAGAATCTTGATGCAGAAAAGCAAAGGCTCTTACTTACCTGGCAAACAAGTAGCTGTTTCTGGTACTGAAGCTTGGCCACTCGTTCTTTCAGTTCTGTAACATATGCCCTTATGCTTCTCACATTCTCCTCGGCTGCATTTTGGAACATCTTATGCATTTTCCGCATGTTAACAGAACTTGAACGGCGATGGCAGGGGGTGCCTTCCCTTGATGTGATATCTCCTCCACCATCTTCACTCTTAGCCGGGGTCACTTTCTCAGATCCTGGCAAAGCCTCAGTGGGTTTGTTGTCATCACACTCTGGAGCCTTGTTCTCAATCTCAGACTCTAACACATCACGAGCTGATGACAGAGGTGAACAGGGAGACCTTATACGATTCTGTCGGTTAACACTATTGCTCGAGGACAAAGGAAGCGTCTTCTTCTTCAATTGACCCTTGGATTTTGGAGTCGCATCGTTAGATTGTTCATTATTACTAGGAAGAGATAATACCAACTTGTCTATGGACTTCTGAACATTTTCTAGCTGCTCTTCGAGATTGGCAATGGTGCTCCCCTGTGAATGTAGTCTGGAGATCTCTTCTTTGAGGTTTGCACCGACACTTCTGTTAGCATTAGCAGCAGCCATATCTCCAACTTCTATTTGCTTGGCTACAGATTTCACTGCTCGCATTTCTCTTATTTCCACTTGCAACTTGGCAATCGTCTCGGCTGCATCTTGGTTACCTTGTTTATGACAAGCAACTTCCTTCTGTAGAACTTCCAGAGCTCGGTTTGCTTCTTCACCAAGCTGCTCCTGAAGTTGTTCAAGTTTGCGAATTTCCTGCATGAGCGTAAAAGGAGCGGTTGAGGATTGCCTCATAGTCTGCCTTCCCGTTGTATTTCTTGTCTTATCACGATGAGAAAGCTCCTTTCCATCAAGCTTTGATGACAGGGGACCAGAAAAGGATAAGCATTTTACGACGGGACTAGGTGACTCAGAAGCGTGACAAGCCTGAATTGCACATGCCCGAAACAAAAACAAAAAATAAAAAAATAAAGTGAGTTACACAGACATAGACACAGAAACACATACATACACACTGAGACACACAGAGAAAGAGAGATCCATACCGGCTGCTCTTGTATTTTCCTGCGTAATACATCCAATTGGGATTGTGCAAAATCTCTTTGGCGCTTCAGTTCTTCAATTTCCATTTCCATCTACAAAATCCTCAGCTATGATAAATTCAGCCAACAAGAATAATAAAATCTATGGATGAACATCTCGTGTGTCTCAGTGTGATGAAGATGAACATCTCGTACCTCGTGAATTTTCAGATCTTTTTCCTTGGACAAAGCATCTGAATCTAAACGTGCAGACGGCTCCGGGGTACGCAGCTCTGCTTCAAGTCTAGCCACCTCCTTCTGCAAATGTATCACCAGTTGCTTGTCCGAAACCACCTGATCAGAAACACAGTTAGATGATGCAAACCAAATACATCCAGAAACCAATGCCAAGCATGGAAAAAGAAAGAATCAGTACCATGTTTACTTGGGCACTGTTTGTGACTTCCTTTGCACGGGTAGCAAAGGAGAGAGTGTTTCGAGATTGTTCCACATGGCTCAATGCTGGACTGAGGGTACATATGATGGCAGTACGAGCATTCCCACCAAGAGAATGTTGCAATATCCGTGTCAGCTTTGAATCTCGGTAAGGAATATGACCACTTCTTTTCCCAACACTGCTAGCAGAAACGATTCAATATCAAAGCAGTGAAATTAACTCTACACAATCGGAGAAGGAATATATCCTATAGATTATTGAGAGACATCATAAGACATCCAAGATTTCAGCTTTCCAGGAAAACAATATTTCACCTTTTTCATTCCAAGATTTAATTTGAGGTATTCTACCATGGTCATTCCCCAATAATGCAAGGACTAATAAAATCATTCAAATTTAAACCCTGAAAAACATAAAAAGATAAATCTCTAAGAACTGATCCACCGCTAAAACCAACAAATAATTGTACAAAACAGCAGATCCACATGGAACACTCTGATAAGTTAATCAGTTAAATCCATGTGCCAGTGTCCTCCATTGTTAATTTAAGAAAAAATTAATTTCTAACATTGTGCGAATATTTAATATGAATTAGTTAATGTTTATGCTTTATCAACCAGCACACTTATTCATAATATGCAAAGCAATTGATTTCTTCATTATAATTCAAGTTAGTACTTGTAATATTTTTTGTTCCCTTCGAATTCATATAGTAATCATAGAAGAAATTGACTTAACCACAAACCAAAAGTTCTGTTGCAACACATAAAGGCATAAAAGCTGGAATAATAATAAGATCAAGACAAAAAGAAAGGTCAGTAAAATTTGGGGCTAAGTGAGATCATACTGTTGATTCTATTCAATCTCAGGATCTTTAGAACAATGCTTAAAATGGAGATAATCAATATAAAGTTATCTCAAAAAACTGCTCACCTGAGCTTTCTTATTACAGTTGTGAGAGTCATTAAGCTTAGGTTAATATGGCATCCTTCCCTGAGCCTAGCACCATCTGCATGTGTTTGTGAAGCCCTTTCACTTCCAGCAAGGTCCACAAAGTTCTGAGGAAAAAAAAAAGTAAAGACTAATATAAATGTGAATAGAGAATAAATGCTTCCTAAAACTCCAAATAAGAAACTGAGGACAACTTTACCAGGCTTGCAACAAAAGATTTCACACAACCTGAATTTTCACCAACAGTACTCTCTATGGTCTGCCTTGAAAGCAAAAACTAGTTAACAAGAAATAGCCATCACATTTTAATCGAGGAATCTGAAGAAATTAAAAGATATCAGACTTACCAGCCTTATAATCTGGTGTGATCTCGAACTGGTATCATTTAGGGCAGTTTCACCCACTTGTCTTTGAGCTGCAAAACATAAATAATACCAATTGAAGAGATAGGGTTAAAGAATAATCAATACAGATTTGGATTAGTAGGGGTTGGAAATGATCCAATGAGTTACCTTCACAAATACTGATCAGATGTCTCAAATGCTGATCACTATTGGCTGTTTCTTCTACCAATTTCTCAACCACAGTTCCTTTCTGCATACATATGAACAAAATGAATTAGTCCAACTAAAATATAAACTAGAATAGGTAAAGAAAAATGTAGCAATACTTTTATAGAATGGCAGGAATGTGCAGAGGCATTACTTCTGGATCATCCAAAAGCTTAAGATTGCGACCAGAATCTGAATTTAACAGGTCCCTGACATTCTCATTATAAATTTCCATTCCAGAAATCTTAAGAGTAAAATCTCTCTCGGGAGTCTGTCAGCAGGTGAAAAGAACAAAATATCAGCTTGGCAACTAGAGAATTGACCTTAGTTACTCAGAAAACAAATCTGGTGTGATTTAAATATCATAGTTTTAATATCAAGCCGATCATGAGAAAACAAATATAATTTCACTACAAACTTACATTCATTATATGAGTATATATATCATTTACAGCCTTTTCCGTTATTCCTCTCATTGTGTAAGTTTTGCCACTGCTAGTTTGCCCATAAGCAAATATGGTGGCTACAAAAGAATGGAATGGATTAAGAATCTTTTTAAAACTTGAGAACAGATCATTACATTACAAATTTACAATAATCAAGGAAATAACTATTTATATTTCAATGACCTACCATTTATGCCCATCAATGCAGACAAAACAACATTCTTCACTCCTTCATACACCGTCTCAGTAGAGGAACCAGGTCCGAAGATTCTATCTAAATAGAAGCATCAAGAATCAATAAATGAAACATACAGGCCACATTAGGAAAAACAGGAATATTAAGAAGAGACAGAAAACCATGTCCATACCAAAGGTATAGGAGGCTGGCGTGAGAAGGCGATCCTGAGGTGGTGGCTTGAAGACAATAGTCTGGTCATCTATGCATTCCCATGCCACTTGGTCTTTGAGTGATTGCTCCCTTCTACTCAAAGGTCGTAACCTTACAGTTACAACAATCTTCTCTTCCTTTACTTTCGTGCCGCCTGGGGTAGACACTGGTGTCCTGTCTATCTTTGAAACAGGTGTAGCTGGAGTGTTAACTGTCATCGTATCTAAATATACCTACAGCTCCCTTCAGAAGATAAATTTAGAAAAAAGACCAAGAGCAAGCCACAAGCCTCCCTTCAGTAAATGATGTTGTTATGGACTCTGGTAGACCCAGAAGTAATATCTGCTTATACCATTTACCAGTTAGACTTGGCAGGGGAAGTACTGAGATTAAAAATTTTTGAGTTGAGAATAGTATTCAAGTAAATGTAAGTTCTAAAAGCGTTGACTGATCAATTAATTAACTGAATGAAGATTAAGATAAATAATAAGTCTGCTTTTTTTCGTCATTTTTCATTGTACCCTGACATCTCGATTTTATGGAGAGAACATCAGAAAAAAGTCATGCAAACTACTGAAAAAATAATTAACTTCGGAAGGAGAAGATGTTAAGACAAAAAATTTTTGCAACTTGCAAAATTGAAAAAGAAATTCAAATTCTTGTTGCATTACTATGGAAGCCGGCTACAATTTCATTCTTTTCTTCCTGTTCTATCGCAATCAATTGAAACGATATCAACTTAAAGTAAAAAGCAGCAATTCTGCAACTAATTAAAGTTGAAATGGAGGGCGCTGATAAAATTCAAATTCAAGGAAAAAAGAAAACGATGAAAACAAAGATTCACATGATTTCGAGAGGATTTCGAGGTTCTCTTTGTTTCTTTCTTTTTCTATTTTCCATGACAAATATTTCATGGGGCATATATTTTTCTTGATCCACTCAAATTTGGGTTTTCTTTTTTTTTTTTCTTTCTTCATTTAAGTTCAGGATTCGGAAAAAAAAACATTAAGAATGATGATCTTTTTCAAGCTTACTTTTAAAATACACGTAATTTAGACACTTGATTTCTGCTTTTGTTTTCTATGATTTCACCCTATAATTAATATATATGGATTTAGAGAGAGAGAGAGAGAGAGAACTATTTGGCAATTTTCTCCATAGAAGTTGCATCTCTTTCTTTCTACTGAAGCCCCTCCCCATTTCGCGTTTCAGTTCTAAATTCCGAATAAAACAAACAAACAAGAAAGAAAGGTTCTACTTTTATGTTCTTAAGACCGTAGAAATCTATTCCAAGCATAGTTTCTTTTTAGTCGTGAAACGATACCTTGTTTTTTTACTCGTTTAAAGCAACAAATCCTACATGAAAAGAAAGAAAAACTAAGAATGACTTGCCAAATATCCGAGGGCCGCCCTGAACTTCACGATTCCTGAGCAGCAATAAAACAAGAATTTACAGAACGAACGACGCTTTGAAATCCAAGCAAAACCTAAGATATATATAACCAACTCGGAGTAGAAGAATTTGACGAAACTATAGCTTCTAAGAAAGAGGAACGTTACGAAAGAGAGAGCTTCAATTTCTAGGGTTTTTTATCAAAGCAAAGCTGTTAGGAACAAAATAAGGAAGAGAAAGATGGTGACTGCATCCAATCGTTTTGAATTAATTCGTCAGGTCCCAACGGCTACTTAATTCATTTTACAGTTTACACTTCAAATGTCTCGGTAAAATGAAGTCGTCGATTGAACGGCCCAGGGAGCGTGGGCCCTGCGGGACCCGTGAGTGTAATAATGTAGGAGATGAACTCGTGGACAGGACTGTAATTTGGGCGGGCCAAACCCAAACTTGACCAGAATCAACCTCAGCTTCTGAACAAATTGGCTATTGGGTATAAATTCTCGGGCTTGAGACGTTCGGGATCTCGGAAATGAGGGGGTGCAAAGGAAATCGTAGTTGGAAGTGAAGGTAATGCCCGTAAATGCATGCATCATCTTTAAGAGCAAGTCACAGTTTATCACCCATGCAGGGATTCTAACCCTATAGTCCCCCGGAATGTAGTAACTTTTGGTCAATGTGCTAACTTGCACCTTGCCTAGAGTATTGTTTAAGTCAGAGTGGGGTAATGCCCCAATATCATGCCTCAGTGCTCAAACTCGGTCGTGGGTTCCTCGACCTCTTCCACATCTACCACATCAGGGGGCCCAATAACATTCCCTGGGGCGTCGGCCTTCAGTCGCGTGGAACAGTTCTCTCATTAGTAAAACCCACACTTTGTTGATTGCGCTCAGTCTCACGAGAGGCGACTCTCTCCCTTAGCACTTGGGTGTTAAATGTTCGAGATGAGCTCTTGGAATCACTACTATCACTCTCATCACTAATAGGAGTGTTGCTAGGAGTACTCCAGTCAAGAAGGTTATATTCCTCACAACCCGAATCTGAGGCCGACATGTTGAGGACAGGAATCATTTACCTAAAGATGTATGTTAAAGAAAGTTTAAAGGAATTGGTTGTTGATAATTTAGTTGTCCTCAGTAGCTCCCAGGCAGAAGGTTTCAAGCAAATGGTTGGGAGTCGCTCAACCAAGCTCCCTATTTAAAGAAAAATGTACAGCTCAGATCCAATTGATCCAACGATCGCGGACTTGCTAACCTGACAGGTCAAACCGATGAGCTCCACGTGACATCGATCTCGGGAGACGAAACAACACCAAGGGACAGGGTTGGTTCGCCCATCAACCCCAACTCAAGGATATGTCAAACCACCTCCCCCCCTCTGCACCGTCTCGTTCACAGCCTCATTCAGTCGACCTTGACGCTCGTCCTATGTACGGACACACAACGCCTGTCCTGCGTATGGACATGCGATGCTCGTCCTCCGTATAGACACACGATGCTCGTCCTGTGTACAGACATGCGATGCCCATCCTACATACGGACATATGATGGGAGACATCAGCGCCTGTGCGAGGCACAGATAGTGAACATGAATAGCCTATGCCCACATGGACCACAATCTCGACCCCTCGGCCCGAGATGGTCCTTTACTGACGCCACCACGCAAGTACATTATACTCTTTCCGGTCGAAGTCAAGGCCTCAACTCAACGCACCAAACAACCTCGATCGCTACAACATCGAAGGTGGGGGACAAGTGATATAGGGGTATTTGGCCAACCCACAGATCTTGACACATGGTGTTGGCTAAACGCTTCCCAACCACCCCGTGGACCCTGACACATGGCATTGGCTAAATATATCCTAACCACCCATCACCAACCACTACCAACTGCTACCACCTGCTCCCAATTACTCCTCTCAGGCAACTCCGATTATAAAAAGGGACTCTCACATTGAGGTAAATATACACTGGAACTTAAGCTCTAAGTAAGACTGCAACTTGGGCCGGGGTGGCCCGAACCCAACCCGAAAAGGTTGGATTGGGTTGGGTCAGGTTGATGTTCGGGTTAGGGTTAGGGTTGAAATTCATGAACCTGACTTTACTTCGGGTTGGGTTAGGGTTGACCCCTTAGCCAACACGAACCTAACTCTACAGTACATGTCATATACAAATATATGTTATATGTAATATATAACATACATTGATTTGTTTAGATGCATGATATTTGTATAGCCCCCACCACATAGTATCATGTATTTCTTTTAAGATAATCACTTCACTTAATCATAATCAAAAAGACTAAAACCTTAATAACATTATTTTATGTTTTTTGAAAATTTTATTCTTCATCTCCTCTATGTTGTTTGCTGCCCAAGAAAGATATATTATAAGTCATAACTCATAATAAACTATAGTAATTTCTAACACTTGTTTTTCTGAATTTTGTACTAAAAGAACAAAAAAAATTAACGTCAACAAACAAATAATAATGAAACATAGGATTAATATATGTAGCGAAAGTTGAGTTAAAATCTAAAATTGAGAAATTCTATGAGGTTTTAAAGGATGGGAAGAAGGTTGGGTTGGGCCCAATCCGAAATTGACTTCGGGTTGGATTGGGTTGAAGGAATTTAGATAGGCTTAGGGTTAGGGTTGGGTTGAGTTAGGGTTAGGGTTGAGGTTTAGAACTTAGGTTGGCCTCAGCCCGACCTAACCCGGCCCGACTTGCAGCCCTATCTCTAAGTCTCTTCTCTTGCTTGATCCAACCCCTCACATCTCTTAACTAATTTAATTGTCGGAGTATCTGCCCCTGAGATACTGCCTTCGACATATTTCTTCTCTCAACAACTTGGACTCATCAGCCTCAGACGTTGAAAATTATGCTATTGCCCATGACTCCATCTTTGACATTAAATAGGTTTTTGATTTGTGAAACGCAGCTTGTGGGCTGTGCTCAAGCACCTCTTTATCTTTAACACTCATTTAACAAGTTAAAAGTCATGATAATTCATACCAGTTGATTGGTTACATGCTATTTGGATATCAGTCAAACCCTTTAACATAAAATTAAAAAAAAAAAACAAAAAAAGTTTGAGTGGTTCAAACCATGGCCGATGAGCGGCTTCAACAATTCACTCATTTAACAAGCCTGGGTCTTTTTTTTATCAAATCAACGGATTGTTCAAACTACGGGTTTGGCATAAAATCAACCCTTCTTTATCTCCGGACGATGGTTAGAACCAGTCCAACAGCATTTGAATAAACTTTGACTTGATTTAGCCATAATTAACTTATAAAAAAAGCCGAATTAATGGTAAAATACCATAGACGACGAGGAAGGGTTGGATCAACATTCACAATTCATGCCAACCATTCACAATCAAACAGATACAGAGTGATAGACATGCAAAAAGGACACGATTCAATCTACCACAGGAGGTACTGTACGCTACAAATAATAAATAATGCTGGCATTCTGAAGCCATGTAGATGTAGTACAGGGCAGGCTCGTTCGGACACCGTTGGAAAAGCCTTTACAGCCTTCCATCGGGAACATTTTCGTACTTTTGTAACATTTTGAAACAGGTTCTGCACTGCCTGAATCCGATTTCAGAATCCTTCAAAAGCCAGTGTAGCCCTAAATTTTCTACCATGAGGGAGGGAGTTTAGTGGACCATCCATTGGATTAGAGGCCTACCACTACCAGTACCAGTAAAGCAACACACTTCCTGAAAACGCAAAAGACCCTGATGAATGAGACATTTCATTTGTTTATCGTGCATTATTTATTAGAGCAAATTTTTTAAACTATACTTATGATTTAGCTAATTGATTAACTTGCTACCCTTACTATTTACATATTATCTTACATTATCCTTAAAATTTTTTACAATTGCCTAAAACCTCTTTATCATTAACATTCATTGACGGAAAGACAAAAATGGCCATTTTACCTTTTATTTTCTTTTAAATTTTCAAAATAAAAAAAGAACAAGGGGGGAGAGAGATATGGCAGCAGCGCCTATATACCCCCAGTGTGTTGAAGCAGCTTTCAGTTTACTCCTCTTTGAACAGATCCAGGCTAGCACTATGAACTCCATCGTCCCCAAGACCGAATGCGCTGCCTGATGTTTCCATTTATGCAGGATTATGTGTGGAGATATTCCAAGCCCTGGAGGCTTTGTTTCGACCATTTCTTCAGGATCAATTGAAAGTGGCAAAACTCCCAAATCCCCATATCGATCTCTGAAAAATGGAACCAAACCAAGTAATCAAATTTGGCATCAATGGGCAATTCATACTCCAATGCTCCACCACCCATAACCGTATCCGTCGTTTGGTACAGATGCATAGGAAAGTAATTAAGCCGTTGGTTCGTCCCAAGCACTTTCTCCTCGTTTGAATAACCTTAACTGAATTCAAGTTTCCTGTGCAGAATTCTGCATCAAATTGCAAAGCACGCCCGAACAAATTTGTGTCATTGGTAAACCCCGCACCCAACAGATCAGAACCACAAGTTAACTGCCCATAGTTGATCAGAATAAAATTATTGCTGGTGGTCGAAGAATCGTAGGACAAGGGATCAATCTAAACAACCTCAAGCCATCCAATCACTGGAGGATTAGTGGCAATGCTGTAAAAACAGATATCCACTTCGCCGTCCTTGACGAAGGTGAACAGATCAGAGTAAGCCCTGGTCTTACTCGTATCGTCCCCCCACAGCGACCACTATCTAAACATGACAGTTGGGTGTGGACATGGCAGGGAATACGAGTTAAAGGGAAAAGGAGAAGAGAGAAGAGGGAGAGAGGAAGAATTAAGGACATGGCAGTTGGGTGTGGGTGTTTCTTCGGATTTCAGACATGTGAAGAAGAGCAGAAGCAGATAAACATGTGACGGGAAGCAATGGACTAAAGAAATATAAAAAATAAAACAAAAATAAGAGAGAGAGAGACGTCATTCTAGGCAGATTCCTTGAAGGTGAGGGAGATAGAATGGATTTATATGAAAAGATATTTTAAGAATTTTTGAAAAATATATCCATCATATGATATTACATGTGACGGAACTGGACGAAAAATACAATTATTAGAAAAGTTAAAAAAGTACTCTACGATAATATGTAATCAGTAAGAATAGAGTAAATCATAGGAATAGTTTAAGAATTTTGAGTTCAAACCACCCACTCGCACGGACACGATAAATGATCAGAGCAAATGGACCCACAGATTGGATATTCTAGGTTAAGCCAATGGCATATTCTAAAGATGTTGATTGAACCGCAGACCACGGTACCCCACGCAATGGCAAGCTCAGATGGATGGATCATTTCATGGATGAAACGAAGGTGAATGTTCAACAACCGGGAAACCGAAATGAACACGAGAGAATAAAATCACAACATATGTAATAACAACAACAACAACGAAATAGGCACGGTTCTAAACATCAATGTTCATTGATATAACTACGCCTCTTAACATCACTTCATCTACATCATTTTTTTTTTTCAATTTTGCATTAGGACCGTCAAAAGTCAAAACATGTAAGTCAGTCTTCAAAACATACTGACATCAGAAGGGCAACTCAAATTTAGCCCTCTTATACATCATTAATATCAAAACCAAAATTAGATCTGGACAACACATGAAATACTACTTATGAGGGAAAAAAACCTAAGAATGCCTGTGTTTCTATTAATTTAAATATATAGATATAAATATGTAATAATATAAATATATAAGCCTTCAAGAAGAAGAAACTTACCCACATCACCAAGACAGAGCTAAATTATCTTTTTCCCCAGCTTAGCTTAGCTTAGCTCAGCTCCTACAACATCATCTTTGTTCTTTTTTTCTTTTTCTTTTCCCCTTAACTTTCTTGGGCCTTATTCTGCTTCTCCTTCCATTCCGTGACATTTTTCAGTCTTTTCATTTTTGTTTTTGAATTTTAGCCTTTTTTCTAGTTTCATTTTTCTCTCTTCTTGACACAAGGAAACAAACCGATTGCTCCTATCTTTTATACGAGTTGCCATCTTTATTTCCACAACGCACTGCCACTGTAGTTGGCATGCCGCCATTCAACCAGGAAATAAGTTGCACCCTAGTTGCAGAATGGAAGATAAAATAAGCTGCTGATCTGGTTCCCCCCCTTAATTTCACCTGCGGCATGCACCATGTGAAGCAAAGAACTGGAAATCTGGGTGATTGACCTGAAGCAATCTTAACCAGTTATCTGCGGCTTGCAAGAGAGAGCTTGCCAATTGACGTTCAGATCCCCCATTTGGAGTCCACATGGATCCTTTGAACTTATATGAAGCTAAACCAAAAACTGGTAGAGAAATCTTTGGTACATCATCCACTCCATTGGGATAGGTCACTATTGGATCCTGCGCACCTCCACCACCTTCAAAGGGGGAAAGAAAAAGAAGAAAAACCCCAGAATAAGAATAAGTAGGCATACCAAGTGAGCACATAAAACCATAAATCAAGAAAAAAACATTTTCAGATTTCTCTTTTTCCCCACACGCTGGGAAGGGAAGAAACCTATGAAAAAAGCAATTAAAACCATGGAATTATTGACTTATTACCTCGCATGGGTGTAGAAAGAGAGTGAAATGTCAAAAAGCAAGCATCCAAATCTCTTAGTGTCGGTCCTGTTGGTATCCTGTATATTGGGTACCTATAACAATTCCATAAGAACTGATGAGCCGCATGGACAAACATGTGAAGAAACATATGCATCAATAAGAAGATCTTACCATGCCACAGAAACCCAACTGATTGGTAGCAAATCACAACTTCTCAATGTCTTCAGCTCAGGAAAGCGGCTAGCAAGATCTGATATCTGAGACACATAGAGCAACATCAGAAGAAAAAAGGACCAACAGCAGCACAAGTTCTCTATAATACCAAAATAAGAGAGGGGGTGGGGGAACAAAAGACTTTACCTTGTCAGCTAAAGGTTCACGGCTGTAAGGAGGATCCTGTTCAAGAAATTCAAAGAGAAGGCAACCACGTGGATTCCCTGCCTCACCATCATCACTAGAGAAGCCTTCTTGGTGAGAAATATGTTTCTCTCTCAAAGACAATCTATCCATCCTCAGAGAAGCCTCACTTGTTATATGGTAGCGGTTCAACTGTTCTCTTGAGTATTTCAAGCCCCTTTCCAGTTCACAATCACTGCTCCCATCACTACTAGAATCTCTGTAGTAATCACCATCACTGTCCTCACCAGGTCGCCTATCAAATAAGATAATGGAATTACTCATAGAAGAAAATAAATCTGCAATAACTCAACTCTAAAATAAGAATGTCTTCAGAATTCAAAACATAAATAAACAATAAACAACCAAAGCAGGGAATGTACAGAAATCAATGGCTTTTTCAGAAGAGACTAAGATGAATGATTCACTCATTCATGGGAAGAAGAGAATTAACACCTGAACTTCTCTTGCCCAATTCAACCTGGACAAGCCAGTTGGACCAACACAAGCAAAATTGCACTGCTCAACCAAGTCAAATCATTTACCAGGCACTTTGATTGTAATTCTCCAACAGAAACAAAAAAGAACAAGATCAACAATATAGCATGCTATAGGTTGTGCCAAGGCCCCAAATTCCCATGGTTTGCTGAGGTATCAACTATCAAAACAGGACCACTGCCTGCAGCAAGATATAGGAGCAGCAACATGCCCATGGTGTACATACCTAATAAGCATTCTGAAATACACCTCAGTGTCTGCCATCCTTAGAACGTATCAAGCAGTATACATTTAACAAAGTGCTCATATGACAACCATAGCACATTAAGGTGCCAATTGGTTGGGCTTTTAAAAAAGACTTTTCAAAGCTCAAAAACATAAAAGATATTTCAGGCTTCAAAATATGAAAATAAAGCTTGGAAATCCTGTTTGGTAACACTCCTCCTCAAACCCTCACTTTGGGTTACAGCAAGAATTTAAAGCTCGCTTAGGTTCAGCAAGAATTTAAAGCTTGCTTAGGTTCAGCATTAATCATTGACCAAGCCAAGAACTTGCCTCTAAAGCTTCCTAAAGAATAGGGAAAGCACAGACTAAGAAATTTTTAGGGATTTCTAAAAAATTGCAATATATAAGATTGTAAGACCAAGGAACCTCTTCCACCCAAAAGAAAAGGGACATATTTAGGGATGACTGGTCAACACAGTTCCTCTTGAATTCCAAGGAAGAAATTATATGAAATGAAGTTCACGCTATGCTCCATCATGAATTCAAATACAACATCAAACTTATTCAAACAAAATAAATCCCCTCAAGACTAGTCTCAACCTCCTGATTGATTGTAGCTTATTCAACAGGTTAATTTCCTGGGAATTAGATTGACACCACTGCATCAACTTTTTTCCTCTCAGGCAACGTAACTTTTAGTTACAAGGTAAGTCTCAATCAAAACCATTCTTGCAACTAAAAGAAACAGTTCATTCCATAAATATCGTTTCTTTTTTTCATTGTAAGTCTTTTTCTTGCTACTTCTCCTCTGATACCCATCCACTTTCTATTTCCACTCCTTATGTTTCTTTTACTCTACTTATCTCCTGCTTTACGTAGATCTTTACACATTCTCCATCCCAGTATCCCAGGAAAGCAGAACATATCATTCAAATTTCTAGAATATCTTAAATTTAAAAACCAACCCAAGAAAGGATCATATCACATCCTACAAACTTGGACAAAACCGCAGATTCACAGTTAAAATGAGATAAATGGATGAGGTTACAATAAGGAGGTGATAATCGTAAGACAATTCAAAACAACTAATGTTCTTAAACACTGCATAAGCAGAAAGTGTTTCAAGATCAAGGAACCCTATTCATTACTTAGCTACAGACAGATAAAAGCACTAACAGTGAAGCAACCAACATTATGTCAAAACTTAAGTTAGTTCAATCCAATGCATAATCTGTTCGGCAAATCTAGAATCAAATCAATAGTTTTGCACAGATTAGGTCAGTAGCAACACACTGCCTGGAAAAAAATAGACACTGAGGAGATACTCTAAGAACATCATCCAATTGCATTAAGAAGTTTCTACCTCGACTTAGAGGAGGACCTCGCGGATTCACCATATATTTGGATACCCGACAAATAAGGGACATAATACTGAACAACACAGTCACTGTCATTCAGTATTAAAGGCACTCCTGCACCATATGCACTCCACTCCTTGAAGGATTCCCATAGATCGCCAAGATTGAAGTAAGGCTGAAATTCCACATCACAAGTCCTCCAACCCCTCATCCTAGTCTGCAACATTATTAAATTTAGAAAGGATAACAAAAGAAAAGAATATAGAAATTAAAATTTAAAAAGAGGAAATTTATTGCACAATACTATGAAATGAACCTTAGATAGATACTGCGCAGGAACAGAAGGTGTTGTTGATTCCAAGAATCGATCGAGGTTGCTCGGAGGAGCTATCGATGGTTCAGAAGCCGGCATAGCTACGGGCTTCGACGTTTCCTCAGATCCCACTCGGTTCTCCGGTTCCCTATTGTCTGAAACTACGGCCTTTCCCTTGGTCGTCGGGGAGGGGCTTAGAGCTCCATTATTCCTAGTTCTTTGAAGCTGTTGTTGATGTTGCTGCTGCTGTGGTTGCTGTTGCTGATTATGATGATTCCTCCTCGCTTTAACCGGATTATAAAATCGATCCTCTCCATGGCTCCGCCCGAACTGCAATCCCGCACCCAACATCTCCACAACAAAGATAAGTCGAGGAAATAAAGCTAACTTCCCCTCTTAAAATCACCAGTCGAAATCACAGAAGCTCTAAGTAGGATGCGAGAACTAGAAACCACTTGTGAAAAAAAGAAATTCGGTCTAAAGGGAAGCGAGACGAATCACGAATCCACACCAGACCAAAAGGGCTGGGCGATCAGAATAGATTAATCGTCTCGATGATTTACTTATCTCGAATCTTCAAGAAAACCCTAACAAAGAGCAATCGGATCAAACCCTTTAATAAGGGTTGGAAAAGAAAAGCAGGCGATTAGTTGAACGCAATTGATCCGAAAACCACCAAGAAGGATTCCGTTAGATCTGACGGAAATGGAGAATTAAAGGAAACGGAAGAGACCTGCTCGCTCTGAGACACACAGAGGAGATTGAAGAAAATGCGAAGCGGAAGAGAAGAGAAGAGAAGAGAAGACGTCAAGAACCAGGGTCGAATAAATGCAAGAGCCACCCGAGGAAGAAGACAATTATTTTCCTTAAAATTAATTTTTTTTTTTAATTCTATAACATATTTTCGGTAATCTTATCACCAATTAGTTGGGTTGAAAGTTATAATTTTTATTTTTTAATTTTTCAATTTTCTAAAAACATTGGTGTTCTACTAAAGGCATGCTGTGATTGGTGGAATTTGGAGTATTCGGATCACCAGAGGATTGCTGGGGACATTTGTTGACACGTGGGGTGAAAAGGCAAGTGGCACACGTGTACGGATGAGATTGAAATGTACGGACATAAGAGGATAGATATTTATCAACTTGTGTGTATTGGGATTTGAAGATGATTGCCTCGGGAAAGGGATATGGATTCGTTGGCCGGTTTGGCCGGCTCAGTACTGTGTTGCTCGTGGGAATTAGCGCAAAAAGAAAAAGGTGGAAGGCAGCACGTGGGAAGATGATGAAGACGGTTTCCGGACTGGACCGGAAAATTTTACCGGCCATACAAGGACCAACCCTAAGCCGATCCTTTCAACCTTGGTTCGCAAGAAATTTATGTGTTTTAAAATATAAAATATTTTGAATAATATTTGCGAAATTATTTTGACAAATTGTGTTAGTAATAATAGACAATAACCAGCATTAAATGGAGTTGGATATAATGTTTTAGTCAAGGTAAAGAGATGTGGTTTTGAATGAGTTGATAGGGGAAAGGGTGGTGAGGTAGCTGGGAGAGATTAGGTTAAACACGAGTTTTGACCAATTTGCTTTTGAAGGCGTGCATTTATCAATATTGAACCCTTGCCTTGCCTTTTAGACAAGTTCAAAGAGAAGAACAATATTGCTAATTACATTTTTGTATTGTATCTGAAGCTTGGTACCTCCCTTGTTTTACTTCCAACTCAATTCTTATAAAGGTAACTTGGTCCATGCAGGCGAAGAAAAGATGAAATAAAAGAATGATTAGAGTAATGAAAATGGGGAGTCAGGATCAAGGAGAAGGAATAAATTGCTAAAGACTCTTCTTAATCCCAATATTATTCTTGACTTTGAAAAGGTTTTATGAAGATTCATTTGTGTAGAGCATGGAACCTTCGCCAATAATTTTATAATCGAGACAAGACTTGGTAGCAGAGAAATGGCGACACAAAACAAAATAACCCCTCAATCAATCAATTAATGTAAACTATTATTTTCATCTCTCAACAAAATCCTTAGCCTTCTTTGAATAAAGCTCCCTTTTTACTCTTCCTTAGTCGATCCCAACTCATCTATTTTGACATGAAATAGGAAAGATTTTGTTCTTCCCTCCGATTAATTCAATAATTTGCCTCACACCTCTTTTCAACCCATATCTGTACATGGAAAAATGTCCTTCCAAAAACTGTTACTTTTAATTAATGAATAAAAAATTTTTTATAAGTAAATTAACAAGGGGCTATTAAGGAACTGACCTCAATGAACCTGATTCATTGATACAAAGAAGGGTTATAATGCTAGTTTTAATTTACTAAGGGGTTATTTGGTATTGTAACTCGATAAAATATATATGGTATCGGGCCCTACCGTGGAGTGTTTGAAGCTTGAAACTTTACCATACTCTGTAAAAATGACATTCTACATAGCTGTGTGATAATATAAATGCTTTAGTCAAACAATTTTTTTTTATTAAGTACCTTCAAAATTTATTGTAAAACTCTACATAAACAATTACATCTATCATGACGTAGACTAATTCAGAAGATTTAAACATGAATAACAAATTACGAAATGATCCAATTCAACCATGTTATAATGTGGACCGAAATGTGAATAGATTTTTCACCATGCTGTGGATAAAAATGAACTAAGCCTCAGTATTTTCAAATAAATCACACTACCGAACAATCAGTTGCACACATCCTCATCCAAAGTCCAAACCTTTGCCTTCCCCCTTGTTGGTCCATTTTATTTTCTTTCAAATTTTAAAATGCTAAAATTAAAAAAGAAAAGAGAAAGCAATTGAGAAAATTAACGCCATCAAGGGAAGAGCAGTTGTTGTTGGATGTAGAAGGTGAACCGTCCATCTAGGGTATACATAATGGAGTTAGTGGACCACCTATACATGACAAGGACAGCAGTTTCCATCATGTAAGTAAAAGGAAATGGAATTTGTTCCAACTTGCTTTTTGTTTAGACACGTATATTTGTTCAGTTATGGTGTTAGATGTTGGGCATGAAAGAAGAAGAATATGTGGGACCCAGACATGGGTTCTTGGGTTTGAACTGTTGATAGATTGTTTTGGGTGTAACAGCCACACCACAAGCCATCAACCACGTCGTATTAGGAACCTAGGGTTTGGGCGGTAGGTCCTCTTGTGACTTCTTAACCTCATATGATTTTTAGGTGCATGATAAAGTAGTTTGCACAAGCCAAATAATTTTTCATTTTTTTTAATATTGAGAGTTTAGCTCATAGTCAGAAGACCTCATGATATCCAACCACCTCTTTTTTATGACAATTGGCAAGTTCTTGGCTAAAGTCAGGTAGTTGGAGTGCTGACTGGTAAAGGGTTTCAAAATTTTATTGTAGTATCCCTTCTTGTTCTTTGGTCAAATTACGGCACAGTACAAAATAAAAGGTTTTTTTTTTATATATATATAATTGAAAGTTTAAAACAAAGATGAAACTGGAATTCATATCTTATCTACGATAAAATAAGTAAAAAGGGGTGGATGTCGGTAGGGCTGTCAATTGGACGGTTTTGAATTGGATCCAAACCGATCCAAATCTTATCAAGTCGGTTTTGGACAATCCATTATAATTATTGGGTTGGACCAATCCAAAATAAAATCATTCGTATTATTATTGGTTTGAATCGGCCCAAAATCAAAACTCAATGATTCAATACCAAAAACCCTACTTATTTGAATCAAAACTGTTGTTGCTCGGCAACTGTTGTTGCCGAGGCCAACGGGGTAAATTTACTCTCAAGTTCCAAAGGCTTTAAGGATTTTGAAGAGGGCAAGCCGAGGCCGAGGACTGTAAGCCAAGGCGAGGTGCTCCCTTCTTAGTATGGTAGAAGCTGAGGACTGTGGGTCGACAGCTCAGTAACGAAATTCTTGAAGATCTGAGGTACTGCAAAACAAGAGATATCAGAGACCTCAGGTGAAGACCTGAAGCGGAGGCTCCGACGCTCAAGTTAGTACAAGGTGTAAGGTGGGGGGGAGGTGCAGACGAAGTCTCGATGGTGGTCCTATACCAGAACTCCGGGACCTGGATCCCCTGTAAAGGGAGAGTTACCTTATATTTATACTTGAGCGAGCTGGAGGTAGGTGGAAATGAACGCACCAGATGAGAGCCATACGAAGTCAGGTGACAGGTCATTGCGAGTACACCTACCTGCTCTGCGGTTGGCTCCGTATGAAGGCAGCAAGGCATCCCCCTTGCTGTGGTTGGCGCTATCAGGCATTAGTGGGTTGGGCCTCCCAACCCATAATGGGCTGGGCCTAGCTAGCCCACATCACTTGCCCCCCACTCCCGAGGCTGAGGATGAGGTATTGACTTCTGCTAGTAATGGAGATGATAGTTGAGGTAAGGCCTCAGCTTCAGACATCGGGAGTAGTGATCGTTATGCCTTCGGATTCATCAGCCGAGGGGTATTCTACAATGGCATCACTTTCACTTCGTATGCATCTTCCATCCTCATCGGTTCGGAGATGCGTGTGGCGTGGATGCCTCGGGTTAGCAGACTGGTCCGTATCACGTACGGTCAGGTCACATCAGGGGTCCACCGTGAGGACGGTCACCCTGATAGGCATGCATTTGCTGGGCTGAGCGGCGCGCTTTTGCCCGACGGGTTGCAGCGGGTGAGCCTCGCGGTTCGCCTAGCGTCATTTCATCTTCCGAGGGCGCATGCTAAGAGGTGTGGTATAGCTGGTTCGCAAAAGCGGAGGGTCCCTGTGACCATCAGATCCGTAGTGATCTGAGCCGTTGCTTGGGCATCGTTTCGTCTTCTGAGGACGAGTGTTAGGTGGCGCATTATGGTTGGATGGTGGAAGTGGAGGTGCCTCAGCCGTTGGATCCCGCGAGATCTGGGCCGTTCATTTTCCTTTAAATAGGGGCCCTGGTGGTGACTTTCCCCGTCATTTGAACTTAGGCATCCTTGCTATCGAGTGAACTCAGCTCCCAAGCTCTCAATCCTTCAGGACATTTCCAGGTTCTCAATCCTTTAGGACACCCTGTCTTCACCTTCTTCACCGTCTAGGTAATTCACGATGTCTTTCTCAAACTCTGGCCTTGAATGCCATGAACTCCCAAACACCTCGGGAGGGAGCTCTCCTCAAACCCCTTCTCCTCTCTCTTCCTTAGGTTCTTTGGCCATAGCCCCTCTTGGCAAGAGGTAGTTGTACTGAGAGAAAGGGTAGCTGGGGCAATAACTCTCCCCATTTAAGCACCACATCGGCATCGCCGAGGGAGCTCGAAGGGTCTCTTGTGGCCGAGGAGGAAGATGTTGTAGAGATCGTCGCTGGACTGGTGGGAGGAAGCGCTGCCCGAAGTGTGGTTGATGCTGGTGTCCCACGCTCAGAGTTTGACAGCTCCTTGGATGTGGGACAGATCAAATCCTTGGCGAGGAGATTCCACATACCTCGGTCCTATGATCTTAGGGTTCCCGACGTAGGTGATAGGCCATGGACCCCTAACGAGGGAGAAATCTATGTGTACCAGCACTTTTTAGAGTTTGGCCTTAGGTTTCCCCTCCCTTAGTTTTTGAGTTACTGGAGTGGTACGGTATCACTATCAATCAACTCGCCCCTAATGCCCTTAGGACCTTCATGGCGATGTTAGTGTGGGCTCGACTTTGAAATGTGAAGCTAACATTAAAGATGTTTCGTGCCATGTTCGCACCGAGGAAGCACGCTTTTCGAGGCCAACATGTATTACTTCCACCAATTGAGAGGGAAGCCGGTGCACAAGCCTCGCCCGTCCATGGGTGGAAGGACAAGTTCTTCTACATCTCTTGCCCTGAATGCTGGAGGCTCAGGTCTAACG